GTTCAGGTGAACCCCCTGACCGTTTGAACGCTCGACGGTTTGAGGTTACTGTCATCGCGTCGAAGACCCGCCCAACCGAAGGTAAGTGTCTATGTCTGGAGAATTCGGACAACTAGACGTGATCATTACCGCTGTTGTTATCGCCGCCATCATCACCATCATATATCGTGGTGTTGTTTTTTTTTCTCTCTCTCTCTCTCTCGGTATCTCTGCCTCTCTCTATCACTCTCTCTCTCTCTCTCTCTCTCTCTCTCTCTCTCTCTAAGTATATTTCCCTCCCTCCCCGCATACTCGGAGGGCGCTGACGTGGAGATCCCCGTTTCGGCGTTGACGTGGAAGTTTTCGCGCTACGCCCGTCAACGTGGAGATGCCACGCCTAAGTATCTGAATGTGGAAAGGTCCAGGTTGGAGGGTTAACGTGTTAACAATGTCATCAACACCTGCTACAACATCCCATCCCTTCTAGGATGTCGAACGACGTGGAGCCTTTCCCCCCTCTGCACTCCCCCCAGTTGAATATTCCCTTCCGGGTCTACAACGTCCGTTGCGCGACTCTTCGAACCTGAGCGCGATTCCCGACATCCGCCAGGCGTGAATGCAGGAGCAGCATGGCGAACTCCCCCCCCCCCCTGACCCTCCCCAGTCGAAAATATGTCCCTCTGGTGCTGCAGCAAAGTCCGTCGCCCGACCCTTCGAGTCTTAGCGCGCTTTTTTGAAGACGCAACCCCAACGACGTTTAGGTCTCGCGAGCACTCACAGAGCCAGCCGCAAGGTCGGCCCGCGCATGCGCGCGTCCACGGACGCAATATGCGAAGCTTGCCGCCCACTGGTGGGAAGTCCGAACATCAGCACGCGACCCTCTGGCCTCGGGCCGGCGGCGAGCAATGACTTCCAAACGGCGCAGGATAAACATAGCGCAGCATAGAAGGAGCCACCCCTACCAGCAATGCGAAGTCGGCAACGCTCCAGGCTATACAAGGGCAGGGCTGCGGGCTGAGCCGAACTCAAAGTCACCAACGCAGCGGGCCGAGAAGAAAGGGGGCGGACGAAGAGGCACAAGCGTTGGAAAAAATGCCAGGCGCCTGCAGCAGGGTTTACTGAAGACGCGAGCACTGGTGCATGCAACCTGGTGGACTCACCTGAAGTAAACCCAACATCCCTGTCTACTACTGCACTTCCTTGAGCTCACGGCGTGAAGCGAGGAGCACAATCGTCGTCGATCGTAAGTGCGCAAGCTCCTGCCACTCCAATGCCCCGCAGGGTTGTGGGATGGATACGATCAGCACGCGGTGACGGTCAGTCGCTCCGGTCCAGCGAACCTTGCCCACCTTCGCGCTGTCCTGGCGCTCTACGCGGTGGGTCCGCTCCTTCGCTGGCACCTTTGCCTGCAAGGACCGCCGCTGCCCATCAGTTGTCCCAGCCCACCGTGAAGCAATCCGCGTGGACTCTAGCCGTGGGGACGGCGTGATGATGTAGCTGGGGCGATCCCAGATCCGAGCTTCCGGCGAATAAATTGTGTCGCCGTCTGGGGTAGAGTGTGCCGCAACGTCCTGGCCTACATGAAGGTCGACCTCAGGCTACACCCGCCTTCTGGAGAGCATACGCGGTGGGCGCGGTGATAGATCCATCTGCTGTGCACTGGCTCGCTCCCGTCATAGTAGTCATCCTGCGACACGGAGCTCCACGGTGGTCGCGCCGCCACCGAACGCTCGGCCCTCCAGCGTAATGAACTTCGGCTAGCGATTGATGATCATGCTGTGCGGGGGTTTGCGACCCCGCAAACACGAGAAATAACGCCAGAATCGCTCGAGCCAGGGCCTTCTGAACACGTTTCCTGTCATCCGCCGGGCGTGAAGAAACGAACCTCATGGAGTATCGTTTAACAAATCCCCATCCCCAGCGGCGTGGCCTGGGCCCCACTGGGCGATTTATCCCCCTAGATGGGAATATCGGTAGTTCTCTTTGGGTCTCGAGGGGTGTACTCCCAACTTGGGTGGTCATTTGGCGGGGGTCTCGAAGGGGATGGGGATGGGGATGGGGATTGGTTAATCGACACCGAAGCATGGAGCCCATTTTCTTCTGCACCTGCGCAATCAAAAATGTCCCTCCGGGTCTGCAGCAACGTCCACAGCGCGACCCTTCGAATCTGAGCACGATTCCCGTCATCCGCTGACGTCCGACCCCGTGTGGCCCACAACGGTATGCAGTTGTAAATTCTAAAACACGGAAACCTTTTCAGCCAGATTGTCCAGCTCTCTCTACGGGTTCCTCGAAGAGTCTTCCCGTCATCCGAGGAACCCGCGCGCGAGTTCAGAAGAGCTACCGCCTGTGCTGTACCTCTGCTGGGAACGGGTGCCGGGGTGGCTCTGCCGGGGAAGGGCGGGGGGGGTTCTGCCAATTCCGGGGCCGCTCCCGCGCGGCAGGAGGAGGGGTGAGGGGGCGGCTTGGCCGGGAAAGGAGGGAGAGGGGGGGGGGCGGCAACGCCGCCAAGGCCGCCAAGACGGCCCAAGAGAACTCTTCACGCCCAAGATGTCCCCGAGACGGTACGAGAGGCCCCCAAGAGGCCCCGAGAGCGCTCCAAGAGGGCCCCCAAGAGGGCCCAGGCAACATCATTGATTTCCCTTTGTTTTTCCTTTTGTTTTGAGGTTCTGGCCTTTTCAAATTTCAAATGCTCCAAGACAGCCCAAGAGGCCCCCAAGTCCGCCCCCTGACAGCACAAGAGGCCCCCCAAAGGGCTACAAGACGGCCCAAGAGGGCACGGAAACAGCAAAAGAGGCGCCCAAAACGGCCCATGAGGGCCCCAGGACCTCTCCAAGAGGGGGAACATGAACTGACGCTTCGAGCCTTCTGCCCCAAGAGGCCCCCAGGAAGCCCCAAGATGCCCCCGAGAGGCTCCAAGGAGCTCCCAAAAAGGCCCCCGAGAGGCTTCACAACTGCCTCCAAAAGGCCCCGAGAAGCTTCCCGCGAGATCCCAACGAACCTCCACAACCCACAACCCTAGAACGAAGGCTCCAGGTCCGCCGCCCCCATTGGCATGCCACAGGGGTGCACGGCGTGCTGGATGTCTGGGATGTGTTGGTTTTTTCTAAAGAGCTGCTCCTGGGGCTTGGTCCAAGCCCGCTGGCCACCCGAAAAACCGCCGAAAAATCTCCCCTCAATGATCAAATCGCCTCTGATACGACTCAGGTGGCCCAAAATGGCCTCCAAGATGTTCCCAAGATGCCCCCAAGCTTCTCCAAGACAGTCCCAAGACGAGACGGTCAATGAGGCCCCTAAGACGCCCCAAGTGGGCTCCAAGCAGACTTCCAGGAGGCCAGAATTCTTGATATCCCTTACGTTTTCTCCTTTTCGGGCTTCCCGCGCTCCAAGACTGGCCCACCTGCCCTCAAGATCGCCCCAAGATAGCCCGGGAGGCTCCTGAAGAGGCCCGCGCGATAGCCCAAGAGGGCCCCAAGACAGCCCAAGCTAGGGCTCCCAACTTCGCGCTTCGCGCTCCGCGAAGCGCGAAGCGCGAATAACTTCGCGCCCTCGCGCCGCCCCCCCAAAGGGAGAAAAGGAGTACGAGGAGGAGGGGGGAGAAGGAACGAGGACCGCGAAGCGCGAAGCGCGAATAACTTCGCGCCCTCGAGGGAGCCCTTGCCTCCAAGACGGCCCTGAAGCGCCCGAAGTTAAACCCACGATTGCCCAGGAAGGGCCGAAGGCGGCCTCCAACGGCCAGGAAGCCCCCAAGAGGCCCCCAGAGGTTCCAGGAGACCCCAGTAGGCCCCCAAGAGGCCCCCAGGATGCACATTGGAGCCCCTCGAAAGGCTCCCAGGAAGTCCCCGAGCCCCGAGAGGCCGCTGAGGCTCCCTCCCCTCCTCCTGTCTCTTCCTCCCCCGTGTTCCCCCAAGAGGTCCCACAACGGCTGGGGAAAAAACATACTCCAGATTTCGTAATAAAGGGAGGGGGGTCTCATTTCGGGGGGGGGTCTTCTCCAAGCTATCTTGGAGGGCCTGGGGGGGTCTGGGGACGATGTTTTGGAGGGTTCTCCCACGGGGGAGGTCTGAAATGGCTTGTTTTGGAGGGTCCAGACCCCCTCACTTTTATTACGAAATCTGGGGTAGTCCAATAGCTTGCCCTGACTTCGGCCCAGCGTCTGGACGCATGGGCGCTTCCAAGAGGCAGGGGGCGGCGGTGAGTCACCGCATGCGTTTTCGATAAGAGAAGAGAGAAAAGACAAGTCAAGTCAAGTCAAGTCACCCCGCTCGCACGAGGGCGGGCCCATATAGGGCGCGGAGGAAAAATCAAATGCCAGTCACTATTCAGGCCTGGTGCGCAAAGGAAGCATCGCGCCTGCTCACGTCGACGTGCAGAAGTCCAGGAACAAGAAGAGAAGATAGAAAAGACAAGAAGAAACAATACACTATGAACTGTTCACGGTACGACCCGCTCAGCGACCCACAAACTAACCAACACACCTGAAAACTAGCCCGCCAACAAGCTCGACCGAAGGACACGGCGCAAACATTCCATTCAACACAGACTGCCTGAGGCAACTGCCAACACCCTCCTTCCCCTCCTCCTCCTCCTCCTCCGCCTCCTTCTTTTCTCCCCCTCTTCCTTCTTCTCCTCCTCACTCCTCGTCCTCCCCACTTCCTACTCGAGGTAAAACTTACAAACTATCAAACAAGACGAATTCACACGGAGCGTCTCTCAGAGCATCCCAGCTCGGCGGCACAGTCAGGAGGCCTCTACGATCAGAGCGACGAGAATTCGGGCCCCCCCCTTCTGCACAGCGTGCCAGACCGGCGGAGGAAGAACGAGGCCGACGCCCTCCTCGAGGACGGAGGTGGCGTGCCCGCGGGAAGCGGTGCGTGGAGGGGGGGGGGAGGGAGACGACGAGACTCCCCCTCCCCCCCCGTCTTCTGCACTGCGAGGGCCCAATGACGAAACAAGGGGGAGGACGGGGCGAGGGGCCCCCTGCCGCGCGGCGGAACCTGTCGATCATGGCGTAGGTGCACTCAACCTCGATGGCCAGGGCGCCGAAAGCCACCCGCGCGAAGCCCATCTCCCCCCAGGCCTCGCCCCACGAGTTTCGCAGCCACCAGTAGCTCAGCCCTGACCCCAAGGCCGAGGAATGCATGCCTACAGGTGCCCCCCCCGCACCCCGTCCGCCCTCCCGTGCTCCCCCTCGTTTCGCCCCTCCTCCACCTCCTCCTCTTCCTCCTCCTCCTCCTCCTCCTCCTCCTCCTCCTCCTCCTCCTCCTCCTCCTCCTCCTCCTCCTCCTCCTCCTCCTCCTCCTCCTCCTCCTCCTCCTCCTCCTCCTCCTCCTCCTCCTCCTCCTCCTCCTCCTCCTCCTCCTCCTCCTCCTCCTCCTCCTCCTCCTCCTCCTCCTCCTCCTCCTCCTCCTCCTCCTCCTCCTCCTCCTCCTCTCCTCCTCCTCCTCCTCCTCCTCCTCCTCCTCCTCCTCCTCCTCCTCCTCCTCCTCCTCCTCCTCCTCCTCCTCCTCCTCCTCCTCCTCCCTCCTGCCCCTCTTCCTCCTCCTCCTCCCTCCTCCTCCTCCTCCTCCTCCTCCTCCCTCCTCCTCCTGCCCCTCTTCCTCCTCCTCCTCCTCCTCCTCCTCTCCTCCTCCTCCTCCTCTTCCTCCTCCTCCCTCTCCTCCTCATTATCCTCGTCGTCGGCACCATCATCATCATCATCATCATCATCATCAGCAGCATCATCATCATCATCATCATCATCATCTTCATCATCATCATCAGCATCATCATATGCAGCAGCATCATCATCATCATCAGCATTATCATCAGCATCATCATCATCATCGCCATCATCATCATCATCAGCAGCAACAACATCATCATCATCACCAGCAGTAGCATCAGCATCATCATCAGCCGCAACAACATCATCATCGTCATCATCAGCATCATCAGCAGCAGCAGCATCCTCATCATCATCCTCATCATCATCATCAGCATCATCATCATCATCATGATCATCATCATCACCATCATCATCATCAACATCAGCATCGTCATCATCATCATCGTCATCATCAGCAGCATCATCAGCAGCAGCATCAGCATCAGCATCATCATCATCAGCAGCAGCATCGCCATCATCATGGTCATGACTATCAGCATCGACATCATCAGCATCAGCATCAGCATCATCATCATCCGCAGCAGCATCATCATCATCATCACCATCGTCATCATCATCATCAGCATCGTCGCCGTGCATCATCATCAGCAGCATCAGCATCATCAGCAGCATCATCATCAGCAGCAGCATCATCATCATCATCATCGTCATCATCACCATCAGCATCAGCATCAGCATCGTCACCAGCAGCAGCATACTCATCATCAGCATCAGCATCAGCATCAGCAACAACAACATGATCATTGTCACCATCGGCATCAGCAGCATCGTCATCGTCATCATCACCACTATCATCAGCATCATCACTATCATCATCCACACCAGCATCATCACTCTCATCATCCTCATCATCAGCAGCATCCATCATCATGATCATGATCATGACCAGCATCATCATCAGCATCATCACCATCATCGTCATCATCAGCATCATCGTCATCATCATCATCATCATCATCATCCACATCATCGTCAATACCATCATCATCACCCTTACCATCCTCATTATCGTCATCGTCACCCTCACCATCAGTATCACCATCATCACCACCAACATCATCAACATAATCATCAGCATCATCACCAGCATCGCCATCATCATCATTGCCATCATCAGCATTTTTTCCCCTCCCCCCGCTAGCCAGCTGATTGCCCCACAGCGAGCCTCGCGGCGGTGACTTTTGTCCAGGCTGCCTGCAAGGCGCGGTGACGCCTGCAGTGGAGGCGTATGCGCGCATCGAAGAGTCTCGCGGGGTCGGCATCACAGCCAACCCTCTTCTGAGAGTGAGTGTGTAAAAAGGCTTCGCAAAATGACGCGCAGCACAGCACTGCTTCCACCGACGGGTGCACTGTAAGGAGGAGGAGAGAGGAGATCGGAATAGTGTCGGCACAATCCACTATCGCACCCAGCCAGATCCTTGCAATCTCCTGGAGACGTGTGCATACAACGTAGTGTTGCATATCATCGAGGTCCGCCTCAGGGACCACAGACACACACCCGAAGACGCAGCCCCGAGAAGTCGCGTGGAAACGCGAAGTAGTACAGACACCACGGCATGCGATCCGCAAGGGGGCCAACCCAATATACATCTTCGTGCGTTTCGCCGCGCAACGTATTGCACTGATCATGCGGGCAACCTCGATGGGGCAGGGGGCAGGGAGCCAGGAGGAGATCCTGCGGAGGAGCCCAGTTTCAGGACAATCAGCAAGGTCCACGGGGTCCCGAGCAATGAGGGCCTTCAGGATACGACGCTGGAGCGTCTTCTTAGGGAAATCGTGCGGGACCGCATCAGTGATCTGCTGGCAGCCGTCGCGCACAATGCACATCTGTCGCACAAAAGAGTCCCTCCACCACCCAGTCAGTGTCCTAGCAATGCATACCCCATCCTCCATCCCGTTCCGTATCCGTTCCGTCGAGGTGGCGGCTTCCAGCCGCGCCTTAACCTGAGCAAAAGCAGGGCAAGTGATAGCCGCGCGCAACTGCACCGCACGAGCGTACTGTCTCAGTGCAGGGAACTCCGTTGTCAGCCCCAGTTCCTTGAGACCACAGAGCATCTTGGTAGAGAAAGAATCGCGCGGTGCGGCGGCGAGCAACTGAAGCGATGCATCATACACATGGTACACCTCTGGAGTCGGAGCATAGAACTGCAATAGATACCCAAGCACCGACAAGCAAGTGGAAGTAAACATGACGATGGCCATAGCAAGCCCGAGCCCAAGATTCCTAAGGGCACGAACACGCTGTTGGAATTTGTTGATGGCCTCCCTCCAAACATGAGCTCCCCCGTCGGGACCGATTTCCACCCCCAGGTAGCGGGCACGACGCCCAACTTGGAGGTACTCAAAGGGCGCCCCAAGAGCCTGCAGCCAACCCGAGACCTCATCACACGTCAGCCCACCCGTAAGAACCAGTTGGCACTTAGAGTAGTTAAGCCGAAGACCGATAGCATTGTCCAGGGCCCCCAGGAGCACGAGGATAGGCACCAGCCCAGTATGGATATTGCAGACCCCAAATAGCAGATCATCCGCATACCCCAGCCCTCTGTCGATGTGTGTGCTACCTTTATGCAGAAGCCAGCGCAATATCGGGTCGAGGGCTAACGCGAAAAGGCACATGCTAGTCGGGCCCCCCTGCCGTACACCTCGTTCAATCTTGATGCGCTGCAGGCGCCGCCCTGAAAAAGTGACCGTCGCAGTGTTGTCAGTGTATAGCGCGGCAAAGAAGCAGATGATGGGAGTGGGCACAGACATAGTACTAAGGACAGTGAGGATCCAGCTGACGAAAAGGGAAGGGAACGCAGCCGCGAAGTCGGTGAGCAAGAGTGCCGAGTGCGGCTTATCATGAAGCCATTGAGATAGCCCCCATTCCTCCGCCTCCACCACGTTAGATAAGATACTCCTCCCACCGACACCTCCCGACTGCATCACATGAACTGTCGACTTCGCAACCGATGCAAGCGGCAAGCCCATCGCTGCCGACAGCACCTTGCACGATGTGTCAGCAAGCGCCAATGGCCGCGTCTTGCAGGCATCACGACAAACGGCTGTGCCCACGTCGGAGTCCTGATTACCCTTGGGAAAGAAGGTGAGGAGTACGTGCTGCATGTCAATAGGGAAATCTGTGCTGTTCGTGTCGTAAAGGTACTCATATACATCAAAAAATATATTGGCGGCAGGGTCATTCTGCCAACAGCTGTAAGGGATACCATCAGGACCGGGGGCCGTGTTGGATTTTGCACGGATGGCACGGATAAAGTCATCCCGCTCGACCCTCCACTGTGTCACCTCACTCAGAGGCTGTACAGATTGGCAGTGCTCAAGGAAATCCTCCCACCCCGACATATCCTCCTCCTTCGCAGCAAATACCCCCTCCCAGTAACGAGCAAGAGCGTTGCCAGACTCCTCAATCGTCGCACATGGGGAGCCGTCATCAGCAGGGGCGCCCGAGAGGTGCACACGGCGTCGCATTTTGCGCCATATCTGCATCTTAAACCTGGCACGTGAGATGGCCTGCAGCCTCCGAGCCTCCTCCTCCTCACCCTCCGTAGTCGTTGCAACCGCCTGGTTAAGTTGGGCCTCCAACGCAGAGTAATGGCACGACCTGGCAAATTCGCAAAGACGAGCGTAGTCCGTGCACTCTTCACGGTCCACATCAAAGATTTGCAGCAGAAGCGGGAGCGCGCAGATCGCGCTGCGTACCAGGTCGAAGTTCCCTGTACGCCACCCACGCACAGCACGCATAGCCCAGAAATGTTGTTCTTCAGGAGTGCGAGCATGTTTATGTGCTAGTGCGCGCTTGGCGGCCCTAACAGCGTCGTGCGTGACCGATTTTGCAGCTTCAAGCCGCCGAAGAGGACACCACCCAGTGGGGATCTGAAGGAGGCCATCCGAGACAATATCTTTGTAGATGGGGGTCTTGCTGAGCCACACAGGGGCCGACGAGGACTCCTTGGGGTTGAAGGCCTGAAAGGAGACTGCGACTGGAAGATGATCCGACGGCTCATACCGCTTCGGTCGGCTCCATACCTTTGCCTGCAGAGTGAGGTCGGTGAGGAGGGCACACGGAAGATCAGTGTAAATCCGGTCGAGACGAGCCGTGTGGGAGCTGCCGTCGTTGCCCCAGCCGTATCGTGTCGGATCGGGCTGGTAGAGCTCGGCCCAACGTGCACACTTCGTGCCGAAGAAAGTGGTGTGCCATCTGTCCCCAGCCTCCCAATGCCCATCATCTGACTGCCTCCCCTCCTCCTCCAGCGCGAAATTCCAGTCCCCACCTATGAGGTTGAAACAAGACGTGGCCGCTGGTAACGCACAACACACCGTGTGGAGCACTCTCCTATACTGCTGGTGACCATGACATGTGTTAGGCATGTGAACATTGATGATAACGAGCGCACCATGCGGACCGACACAATGAGATAGAAGCACTCGCCCCTCACACAAAGGACGATGCCGAATAGAAGAGAACTGAGAAGCGAGCGCAGCACTAATTACGGTAACTGTGCCCCCTGCAACAGCCGACGCACACATCGTAGCTCCAATGTGGCACCCACGCAACTGCTGCTTCAGGCAAGCGATACCCCCCTCATGCCCATGACATTCCTGAATACATGCAATGTCATACCGTTCACACAACTGCAGGAATTTACGATAGCGGGCCCTCGCCAACTCCCCTCCATACCTGACAGAAGCAAAAAGAGCAGCGGCATTCCACGTGACCATCGAGAAGGGGCGCCGAGGAGAGAAGGGGAGATCCGTACTATCCGTAATGTCATCCGTGTCCGAGCTGTCAGACGCATCATCCGTAGTGTCGGTGGAGGAGGGGGGGGGAGGAGGGAGAAACGGGAAAAAGACAGTCAACAGGAAGCGAGTGCCTGGCCGCTCTGTCAATGCTGCTGCGTGCACGCTTAAAAGGGCCGTCTCATTGCGACCTGAGCCGCATCCATCAGGCTGGCTTTGTCCGCCAGAATGCCAAACTCCGTCAAAGTGGAGTCAGTGAATTCAACCTGGACATCACTCACCCCTTCAAGGACCGTCACGTGTGCACACTGAACAGGGTCCTCCTCACCTCGCAGAATGTAGACGTCGCCACCGAGTCCGTTCGAGCCAACCGTGAACCTGCCATTGAGCAGTGCCTCGAGCTTCTGTCTGAGCTTGCCCATTGCGAGGAAAAGACGACGATCTTTGACCTTGAGGTCTCTGCGGACTTTGAGCACGAAATGTCCGCCTTTGGGGTCGGGAAACTGAAGCTCGCCTTCGATCTTCTGGAAATTGCTCAGGAAATCCGACGCTGCCGATGCTGAATTGAACTCGAATATCGCCTTCCGATTGAGGTCGAACGCTTTTATCACCACTGATGTCTGCGAGTGAGTGGGCATGCAGCGGTGACGTACCACTGCCGCCGCTCGTCGGAGTGTGGCCTGCATGAGCGGCCGTGGGAAACCAAGCAGTACAAGACGAGCGGCTCCCTCCTGTGACGAAGATCCCATCGCACCATCCGCAGATGAAATGCCAGTAGAGCGTGTCGATGCGGGGCTGAGTGCACGACGACGCCGTGAAGGTGGTCCACCGTCAGCTGGCGTGTCGTTGATCTGGCTCTCTAGCTTCTGGACCATGGACTCGAGCTTCTGCATCCTTACCTGACGTTCAGCCTCCGCAGAAATGTCGGCCATGACATCCTCACTCGACTGATACTGTTCCATGCTCGCCTCCAAGATGTCCATCCTCGCGGCTAGCTGGCCGTAGTCCGAGCGCATCTCCGTGACAGACGCCGTGATCTCGACCTGGAACGACGAGAGCTTTGCGTCGATGCCCGTCACCGAAGCCAGAATCGAACGAGCCCACTCGGGAGCTGCCTCATGCGCCATCCGCGGGTGCGTAAGACTGGGGATGTTGTTGCCTGAAGTCAAGCTGAGCGTTCCTGGAAAGGCAGCAGCCCTCGAGCCAGGCCTTCAGCTGCGACCAAGCTCGAAGCGCCAGGCCGCGCGTTTCGAACTTGAGCCAAAATGGCTACGGATCATCAGCATCATCATAATCAACATCACCATCATTACCATCATCACCTTCACCACCCTCATCGTCATCAGCAGCATCAGCATCATCATGAAAAGCATCATCATCATCATCATCAGCATCATCACCATCATCCTCATCAGGATCAGCAGAATCGTCATCGTCACCAGCATCAGGTTCATCATCATCAGCATCATCATAGTCTGCATCATCTGCATCATCATCATCAGCAGCATCATTATCAGCACCACCAACAACATCATCATCATCATCACCATCATCATGTTCCCTTCATAATCCCTCTCTTCCGCCCCCGCCTCCCATGTTTCAGCATCCTATTCGTCCTCCAGCTCACTCCACCTCCTACAGTCATTGACCGCCGCATCCTTGTCCTCCTCCTGATACTTCCCCGAGTCCCCCATGTCTCTATCCTCTTCCTCCCCCTCCTCCTCCTCCCTCCTCCTCCTCCTCGAACCCCTTCCCGCCTGGCCCCTCCTCCCCCTCATCATCAATCATCACTGTCGTCATCATCGCCATTATCAATATAACCATCGCAATGCCTCAGCAACCGTCGCCCAAGAGGAAACGGAGGGTGTGAAGGACGGAGGTGGGCACCTGATTGCCTGGGTTCCTCGGCCTTACTGACTCGTCGTAGCCCCAACCAGTTACAGAGACTATGTGGTTCAGGCTCAGGCCCTTCTGAGTGATGATGCCTGACGTGTAGTAGTCCAAAGGAGTCGCGTCCACAGTACACGAGATCGGACCGCGGTGGTAGATCTCTGACATCATGTCGTTCGGGCCGCTAACGTACCCGTACTCGTTGATGGTAGCGTTGGGGTACCAGCCTGTCCCTCCCACTTTCACGCCCCCTTCCCTCTCTGACTTCCGGACCGCCCCTCCTGCTTCATCTAATCCTCTCCCTCTCTCTGTGTCTCTTGCTCTCTGCGTCTTTCGGCTCTCTCTCTCTCTCTCTCTATTGGCGTGATGGAGCCTGGTCCTGGCAGCAGCGGGACCTGGACCACGGGGGCTCGCCCAAAGGCCAGCTTTTCATGCTGAGTACGGTTGGCAGCCCCAGAGCCTGGAGAGGGACGAACACGGTGACAAATCTCCATGGCGACCCTCTCTCCCCTCGCGTCTCCCTCAAAAGTGAAACCACATGAACGGAGACCGACCCGTGGCAGTCCCGATGGGCCTTGTGGGCACTCGACGAGCAGGAACTCGCAGAGGACACGCTGGGTCCAGGGAAGGACACCGAGAAGGACAGGGAGAGGACGCCGTGCACGCATCTTGGTGACGCGCACAAGGGGGCAGGGGGAGGGGGGACGGCTTCAGAGAAAGAGGCTGCTTCGTAAATGGCGCCAGCCCTACATCTATGGATGGGTCCCGCGCCTTCTAAGAAGCAGGGGTGCTTTTAAGGAGCCAACCTCCCTCCCCCACAGCGACCCCCCTGCGCATGGCTGAACATCGGCGGCATGCACCGAAGTATGGCGCGTGGGGGGGGGCGGCTATATTCAGGAATTCGTGGAAGGGCCCCGGGAGGCTTCCCAGAGGGCCGCTCAGGAAACTCAGGGGTGAATGCCAGATTGACCGCCGACATAGGCCTGACAACCCACTCCGCCAAAGGACCCGCGGCTTCGCTGTCGGGGGCCTGTCGCCGATCTGTCGGCGAAGCATATCCGATGTAAGACTGGTGGTGCCCTCTCTGAGCCGATCCCTCCCGATCGGTCTCCCTCACGATCCCGGACAGGCCCATCAAGGTTTGGCCTTCGTTTTTCTGTTCCGCAGGAACAGCAGCGAGGCAGACCTAAGACACTTGCCTGAGGCAGAACCGCAAGGGGGGGACCGGCCTGGGGCGGGGTGGGCACATCAAGCTTGAATCGGCGATGTATCGCCGACGGATCGGCGGTAGGCCACCGATAACGACTCCACACGTTCCTGGGCGGGGTGGATGATCGGGCCTAAATCGGGGGTCGCTGGGCGACTGGCGGTCGATGCGTGCCGCCACTGGGCCTATCTTCCGGTGACTTTGCCCTTGGCGCGCGAAGCGTTCCTTCCCCCCTAAAGGGCGCGAGAAGCGCGCCAGCCTAGGCCGACGCACGTGCCCCCGTACTCCGGGAAGGTGCTGCACGTGCGAGCGACGTTGAGGGCCGAGCAGTCCCAGGTCCAGAACCTTACAGGGGAAGCAGGGCAAGAAAGGGAGAACCGAACGACAACTGCAACAAACGTTCGGGAGTTTGCACGGACTTTTGCACATGGGGCCCAGGGACACACAAAGAAATACACGCGCAAATCCCGGGGTTCCCCCTGTTTGTCCGTATTTTCTGGAAACTCGTCTTCCCCCCCATCTCATGTTTCCCCATACTTCTTGGGGAATCGACGATGGCCTGGGCATGTTTTTTTTCCCTCTGCTTTGTGGATCGGCGCGGACCCCCCCCCCGTGCCAACCCCGCGGAGCGCGCCACGGGCGGCGCCGCCCAGGGGGTCCAGCGCTGGTCCGGCCAGTGAAAAGGAAGGGCATAGGGCTTGACCGTGAAGCAATAAGCTGGAACTCCGACTTGTCGGATAACGTCGGCGACGTATCGAGGTATCCCACAACTCATCCTTCGATGGCAAGCAAGACGGAAAGTAAGAGATACGCCATGGGATGGAAAGGTGGATCATAGATGGATGTGGCCTTTGTCTGATGTTACGATCCCAATTGATGCGCACAGAGTCGCGCACACCTAGCAAATACGACAGCGCTGCCATGGGCCAAGACAGTGTCGGATATAGCGTTCGCTATACAGCCTCTCCTTACACCTCGTTTTAACGTCGGGAGGGAGGGGCCGAACGCTAGATCCAGGTCCTAACGATTTGAATACAGTAATGAAAGGCGATGCCTCCAAGGCGGCCGAAGAAGGACCCAAGACGGTCCACCATAGCTTCAAAACGGCCCCTTGGATGGCCCAACATGGCCTCAAGACTCAAGACGGCCCAACATGTTTTCAAGGCGGCCCAAGATGGCCCAAGATGGCCTCAAGACGGCCCAGGATGGCCTCAAAAAAGTCCCCCCAAGAGGATCACCAAGAGAATCGCCTAGTAACTCCAAAAGAATCTCCTGGTAACTCCAAGACGATCTCCTAGTAACTCTCCAAGAGGCCCCCCAGGGGATCCGAATCGACAATTCGAGCCCTTCCCCCCCAAAATGTCCCCAGAGACCGCCAGCAGGCCACAGGAGACCTCAAGGCGGCCCCGAGAGGCACCCACGATGCCCCAAGAAGCTCCAAGAGACTTCAAAGGAGGCACCCAAGAGGCTCCCCAGGAGACCCCCAAGGAGCCCCCAACAGGCCTCCAAAGCGACATCTAACAGGCCTTTGGCTTATAATCCAGGCACGGCTGTGGGCTGGGCCGACGGCCACTAGATAGCAGGGGTGCGGTAAGGGTGACGAGGAGAACGAGGAATTCTGTACTGTTACCTACATTTTGGCTGCGCCACACAAGCATGCTGTCTACACCGCTGCTCGCGTGACTGAGCCCCCCCGCAACCGCACAATCGGAGGGCGTCTGCTACTCCAGATTTCGTAATAAAGGGAGGGGGGTCTCATTTCGGGGGGGGGGTCTCTTCCAGGCTATCTTGGAGGGCCTGGGGGGTCTGGGGACGATGTTTTGGAGGGTTCTCCCACGGGGGAGGTCTGAAATGGCTCGTCTTGGAGGGTCCCGACCCCCTCCCTTTTATCACGAAATCTGGAGTATCCTGCGACCTGCCCCCAGAAACGAGGAAATGACTCCGCGGGGCGACCTCTGCAGCCCTTCCCTCGGGTCGGGCAAAAGGGGGGGATAGCAAAGGGGGGGGGTGAGAATCAGCTCACGTAGCCGATTTTCCCGGCGCCTCCCGGCGCCGGAGGCGCCCATGTATCGAGGAATGGGCCCCTCGGCGAGGCCGAAACCAGCTGCACGCAGCAAATTTCGCAACCCCCCCTTTCCCAATCCCCCCCTTTCGTCCGGCCCGATTCTCCCGGGTCACCTAACATCGCGCATCGCGCCGCGCGAGGCGCGACGCGCGGTCCACTTGCGCGGCCTCGCCTCGCCCCTCTTTGATTTGAGACGGCCAGCTCTCCGGCCCAGACCGCAGGAGCGAGGGGGGCGCAGAGCCTTCTCGGAAGGCGGCGGGGCCTCCCAGACGCCCTCCGGCCTTCTGAGGATCGGGTCGGGCGAAAGGGGGGGATAGCAAAGGGGGGGTTGAGAATCAGCTCACGTAGCCGATTCTCCCGGCGCCTCCCGGCGCCGGAGGCGCCCATGTATCGAGGAATGGGCCCCTCGGCGAGGCCGAAACCAGCTGCACGCAGCAAATTTCGCAACCCCCCCTTTCCCAATCCCCCCCTTTCGTCCGGCCCGATTCTCCCGGGTCACCTAACATCGCGCATCGCGCCGCGCGAGGCGCGACGCGCGGTCCACTTGCGCGGCCTCGCCTCGCCCCTCTTTGATTTGAGACGGCCAGCTCTCCGGCCCAGACCGCAGGAGCGAGGGGGGCGCAGAGCCCTCTCGGAAGGCGGCGGGGCCTCCCAGACGCCCTCCGGCCTTCTGAGGATCGGGTCGGGCGAAAGGGGGGGATAGCAAAAGGGGGGGTTGAGAATCAGCTCACGTAGCCGATTTTCCCGGCGCCTCCCGGCGCCGGAGGCGCCCATGTATCGAGGAATGGGCCCCTCGGCGAGGTCGAAACCAGCTGCGTGCAGCAAATTACGTAACCCCCCCTTTCCCAATCCCCCCCTTTCGTCCAGCCCGAGAGGAGCCGCCTCCGTCTTCTGAGGAGGGCGTTCCAGAACGCTCTCAGAGCGTTCCGGAACACTCTGAGAAGGCCGCGGCGCCGGATCCAGCCTCCAAAGCCGGTGGATCTGAGAGGTTCCCGATTACCCATCGGTCGTTGGAAGTAGGTATTTCTGGACTCCCAGATTCCAATCTACTTCAAGCGCCTTCCTACTTCAAGGATCGAGTGGCTTCACCCTTTCCATCCTCCCAAGGGGGGCAGACGGGATCAAGTATATTTCCAACGTCTTCCCACTTCATGTTTCTACCTACTTCTTCCGACCGACGGGTAAGGCCCGATGCCGTCCGAGCCCTCTGCGCAGAGGCGCCCCCGACGCGTGCAGCGCGCGATCGGCCACGGCTCCGCGCTCTCCCCGCCGCTCTCCCGCGAGGCTGCCCGCTCCCGCGCGCCCGCTCCCCCGGGCAGCTGCCCTCCAACCACTGCTGGGCGGTGGGGGGCCGAGCGGCTCCGACGTCGCCCCCCCGCGTGCACTCCTGGGCCCGAGTGCGTGGCGTGCGCGCAGTTGCCCCTTCGCGTCCCATCTTCTCGCTTCCCCCCGTCTCTCCACTCTGAAGGGGCCCTGGGACACGCAAATACATACACACAAATAAAAGGATTTCCCATACTTCCCCAGATATTTTGCAGTTCCGTGTTCCCCCCACTTCCCATATTTTCCCATGTTGTCCTGGGAGTGGACGATGAATTGTGTCTGTGTGTTTCCCCCCCTGATCCTCGCCCCCTCCCCACCTGGCCATCGGGGGGAAGACACACACGCCACAGGCGCAGACGTCCGGCGGTCCGCGCGGCCTTCTCGGATCGGCGCTGGGACCCCCCCCCGACGGCGACTCCAGCACCGCCCCTGCTGCGCTCCGCGTGCCAGGGAGGCGGGCCCAGCGCCGCTCAGAAAAATTCGCGCGGGGCGGGCCTCCAGAAGTGTGTGTTTGAAGCTGTTTCTTCTTCGATCTCTCTTCGATCTGCTCCCCCTTCTCGCTCCTTCTCCCTCCTCCTCTGACGGGGAACAATCATTTGGACGCCCGACATGGGGGCCGAACAAAAATGGGCACGATGCCCAACAAGAGAGATGTCCAAAAGCAGCAGCGGCCGCTGTTGGGCAGGCGGCCGTCTGCCTCAAGTGGACAACGTCCGCGGCAACGCCGACAGCGAATCCTGGTCAAAATGGGCAGGAAATGCTGTCGGTCTTCCTGTCGGTCTTCGCTGTCCTTCCAATTTCACCCGTAATTTCCAAGATGAGGGGGTGACAGCCAAGGGTGGACCGAGCTGGAACCGGCGACACACACACACACACAGACCGGCGAGGAAGCCCACGATAGCGAGACCGCACTTCCTTGGCGGGCGGGCCCACGGGCACCGATTGGCGATCAGTGGGTGATGTGGGTACAGCTAAACCGATGTACTCCCTCCTCCCCCGCTCCTCCATCCTCCTCCTCCTCCTCCTCCTCCTCCTCCTCCTCCTCCTCCTCCTCCTCCTCCTCCTCCTCCTCCTCCTCGCGCCTCCTCCCTCCTCCTTCCTCCGACGTCCTCCTCCGCCTCCTGCTCATCCTCCTCCTCGCGCCTTGGCCTCCTCTTCCTCCTCCTCCTCCTCCTCCTCCTTCTCTCCTCCTCGCACCTCCTCCCTCCTCCCTCCTCCGACCTCCTCCTCCGCCTCGTCCTCCTCCTCGCGCCTCCTTCCTCCCCCTCCTCCTCCTCCTCCCTCCTCCTCCGTCTCGCCCTCCCCTGCCAAGCGGCTAGGGCCGGCGCGGGCAGAACCCGTACTCCGAGTCCGAGGAGCAGGCCATGTACGGGTTCATCGACGTGTCCACCAACCCCCCGCTCGCCGGGGGCGAGGAGGCGTGCGAGAGCTCATCACAGAGCGCCTGCAAAACCAGCCATCACATACATCACGGGTTTGAGAGCGTCAATGGCTGTGTTGTGCGCTCGCCGGGGGCGAGGAGGAGCGCGGGGCATCTGGCTGTCAACTCCCCCGCGGGCCCAAGATGCCGCTCGAGGGGTCCAGGAACTCCCCAGGGGCTCCTCCGGGGCCGACGGAGCCTCGGGATCCAGGCCCCGCTGCCTCCACGATGCCAGAGATGCTTTCCAGGACGGCTCGAGAGGCACGCCGACGCCCCCGAGAGGCATCGAAAGCATTCCAAATGGCTTGAGGACGGCCCAAGAGGCCCCCGAAACGATGCAGGAGACACCGAAGAGCCCCACTCACGCTCAGACTCACCCATAGTCAATCCACTCGCACTTAGATCTACTCAAACTCAGCTAAGTCGCACTCGGACTCATACACAAATATACCACCCACATTATGATCGATCAGTCACGTTCAGTCACGTTCAGACTCACTCACACTCGCCGCGATGAGTCAGGCGTGGCAGTTGGGCACCCAAGGAAGAGCATCAGGGGGATGAGGGGGGGTCCTTCCCCGTTGGTGCCCAAATTGCGGGGATGTCTATAAAGTGACGCGTTCGTTGTGCCCCATACAACCCCTCTTTGTCCAGAGCTACATGCTCACCGCTATATAGCAGGCAGCACAGTTGGGCACCCCGTGGAGAAGCAGCCAAGGAGGGGGGCGCTTGCCGATTAGCGGCTAGATCGTGGGGATGCCTCGAACGAGTCGCTCGTGTTTCCCATCAGACTCCCGCCGCTTGAAAGTCTCATGGTCGCCGCGATCCGCCGGACAAAGCAGTTGAGCACCCGAGGGTGAGCCGCCAGGGCGAGGGGACGCTGGCCCGCCCGCGGCCAGACTGTGGGGGATGCCTCGAGCGAAGAGCTCGCTTGGCCACTCCGAGTCCTCTCCTTTGATAGCTGCATGCGCACAGTGGTCATCAGGCAAAACGCTCGTGCAGCCAACAAAGAGGAACTGCCAGGGAGGGGGACGTTTGACCATTCGCGGCCAGGTCGCGGGGATGGGTTCGAACGAGGCGCTCGTTTCGCCCATCCTGTACCCGTCTGTGAAAACACTCATGGCCACCACGACCTCGCAGGCAAAGCAGTCGGGCACCTCGGGGAGGAACCGCCAGGGAGGGGGGCGACTGCCCGTCCGCGGCCAGATTGTGGGGATGTTTCGATCGAGGGGCTCGTTGGGGCCCCTTCGGCGCCTCTCGCTCGAGAGCTGCACGACCACATCGCTGCAGGAGGCAAGGCCGTGGGGCCCCCCAAGGAAACGTAACCAAGGATGAGGGACACGTGCCCATTCGCAGCCATTTCGCGGGGGTCTTTCGAGCGCGGCGTTCGTTTTGGTTCCCCCACCCGACCCTTCTTGGCTACGCGCAGGGGGGGGGGGGCAGGGGAAGGGGGGAAGGTTTCTTAGAGAAGCAGGCTGCTTCTTAGAAGGCCCGCGCCTTCTAGGAAGCAGCCTTCTTTTGCGCGTAGCCGATCTTCTGTTGAGAGTTTCGAGGCCCCCACGACTTAGGAGTCGCAGCATCTGCGCACACCAGCGAAGAGCAGCCAAGGAGGGGAACACTTGCCCGTTCACGGCCGCAGCGTGGGGATCTCTCGAGTGAGGCATTCGTTTTGCCCCAACGATTATACCCCCTTGATAGCTGCATGACAATTACGATGTAGCACGCGACACACCTGGGCACCCCAAAGAAGAGAAGCCGAGCAGGGAGCACTTGCCCGTTCGCGGCACGATTGAGGGGGATGCCCCTGGCGAGGCGCTCGGTTCGCCCTTCCGACTCCTCTCTGTTGGGAGCTTATGGGCCGCCGCGATACAGCACGCAAAGCAATCAGGCAGCCCGAGGAACCGCCAGGGATTGAGGCGTTTGCCCGTCCGCGGCCAAAGTTTGGGATGTCTCGAGCACGGCGTTTGTATTGCCCCGTCGGCTCCTCTCCCCTGAGGGCCTCGTGACCACCGCGGGGTGGCAGTCGTGGCCTCGGGCCCCCCGACGAGGAGCCGCCAGGAAGGGAAGGCGTGCCCAGTCGCGGCCAAACTGTGGGGATGTCTTGCGCGAGGCGATTGTTTTGCCGATTTCTCATTTTTTCAGAACGAACGAGCAACGCGCACCCATACACATAGGGGGCGAAGACTGTTATGGGTGCATGTTGTCGGATGGGGGCCCCGCTCGAACAGGCGCCCCCCCGAGGATCCGACAGCCCGCACCCATACCCACGGCATGTTTTCTTCCCGTCGCCCCCCCTTTATGGGTATCGGTGTGTGTGTGTGTGGGTGGGCGGGCGGGCGGGCGTGTGCGTGTGCGTGTGCGTGTGCGTGTGCGTGTGCGTGTGCGTGTGCGTGTGCGTGTGCGTGTGCGTGTGCGTGTGCGTGTGCGTGTGCGTGTGCGTGTGCGTGTGCGTGTGCGTGTGCGCGCGTGCGCGCGTGCGTGCGTGCGTGCGTGCGTGCGTGCGTGCGTGCGTGCGTGCGTGCGTGCGTGCGTGCGTGCGTGTGTGTGTGTGTGTTCGTTCGTCATCTGGAGAGTGTCCTGGTCACCGAGATGTAGCGCGCATAGCGTGGAGGCGCCCCAGCAAAGACCCGCCAGGGGAGGGGGCAGATCCCGCGCCCAAGGTGTGGGGATGTCTCGGTCGGTTCGCTCGCTTTGGTGCCGTGACAACCGCGATGAAGCAAGCGTATGGGCACTCCAAACTCGCGCCCAAAATGTGGGGATGTCGTTGGCGAGGCGCTTGTGTCGGCGCCGCCTACTTTTCAGAAAGCGTATTGTTCTCTAAACTCCAAGAGGCCTCCAGGACGCACCAAGGGACCCCAGGAGACTCCAAGAAAGCCCAGACACCCCCACGAGGCACCCAGCCGCCCATACTGAGAAAGTCTTGCGAAGACCCAATCACAAACAAGCCCACGAATGCTCGGATCCCATCGCCCCCCAACGCCACACATACTCATACTCGACCAGTTGAAAGTGCTCGTGCAGTTACACCATCGTTGCTCGAACGGACCCAAGCTCAGACCTGACTGCACCACTCATGCTGTTACTGGCTCTTCGTCAGGCTTGATCTTGCTCAGACGCTGATTCAGGATGACGCCATACAAAACATACAACTATGGGGGTCCCCGCGTCGAATAGTTTGCAGAATTTCTCCGCTTCAGTCTCGCTCACTCCCGCCTTCTCCCGTCTACACTTAGGGCCACTCGTGCCCAGCTCGGTTTAGCCACGCGCAAGCCCACATATACCAGTTATACGCAGGGTTGCCCTGACTCAGTCACTCATACCACTCCCGCTCAATCACGATCAGACTCGCCAGTACTCACACTCAGTCTTACTCGGACTCGCTCACACCTAGGTCCAATCACACTCAGACCCACTCGGACTCGAGTACACTCAAGTTAACTCAGACCCACTCGCCCTCTCTCTCACACACACACTCATACTCAAACTCACCCACACTCAGATTCATTACACTTAGAACCGCTAAAGCTATGATTCTTTATACTGGCAGCGAGGGTCCCTGTGGCAAGACAAGGAGCAAAACGACGACGGGAGACCACGCGACAAAAGGCGCGGGGGAGCGGGCGGGAGGGAGGGGGGAGGGCGAAACACGCGCGCACCCCGCGCGCGCGCGCGCTCGCGCTCAGCCGCCCTGCGGGCCCGCGCGGCGCCTGGCAGAGGGGGCCGGAGAGCGGGAGCCGCCGCCCAGTGGCGTCGCCCCGGCGCAAGAGCCAACAGCGCCACGGCCGCGCCAGCGCCAGTGCCAGGCGCGCGCGGGAGGCCCGCGGCATGCCCAATGGTCAGGGCGCCTGCCCGCGGCAGCCGCCCCTTCGCGGTGGCCTCCTCCGCGTCGCGCGTGACCAGCGCCGCGGCGGCTTCCAGGAGCGCCAGGCGCGCGTCCCGCAAGAAGCGGCGGCCGCGCAACGCGGCGCCCAGCTTCGGCGCCAGCTCCCGCGCAGCGGCCCAGCCGCCCGCGTCCAGGCGGCCGCGGATCGCCCCAAGGCGACCTCGTCGTCGCACCCCGCGGGGCCCGCGCCAGCCGGGCGCGGGCCCCGCTCCGGGCTGGGGCCTGGCGCCGCGGCCGGCCCCTCGGGCCAGCCGGCGCCACGTGCTTCAGCTCGCCACCCACCGTGTCGCTCATGTCGGGGCCGTCGTCGGAGCTGGCCCAGCGCGCTCGCTGCCGCGGCGGGGTCGCGACCGCGGTCTGGCCCGGCGGGGCCGAGCCCGCCCGGGGTCGAGCCCGTGGCGGGATCTGGCGACGGCGCCGTCGGCCGCCCAGCCGCGCTCGCACGCGTCCCCGATCGAGGGCGTCCAGCGGCACTAGCAGCACGTCGCCGCGCTCCGTTGCTGGGGCCGCGCGCCTGGGCCGCTGGGGCCGGCCGCCCGGCCAGCCCCTCGAGCCCACCGCTACCTCAAGCATTACCCCCCCGAACACGGTTTGGAGCTTTAGCCAAAATTGCTACGGACTAAAGCTATCACTCACACATGATCGTACTCAGCCGCCTCGTCACCGCGATGTAGCAAGCATTAACACTTGGGAACACAAAGGGGGGATCCGCCAGGGAGGGGGGTACTTCCCCGCTCGCGCCCAAACTGCAGGGATCTCCAGTGGATGGCTTGTTTGACGTCCCTGGTTCCTCTGATTCGATTGCCCAATGATTACCGCGATGGAGCAGGCATAGCGTTGGGGCACACCCCCAACGGGAGACGCCAGGTAGGGAGACACGTCCCCGTTCGCGCCACATTGCCGTGATGTCTCGAGCGTGCCGCTCCTTTGGAACCCCCGACTCGCCTGCGTTGATAGCCCCGTGATCACCACGATGTCGCAGGCAAACCACTGAGGTACTATACGGCAGGTTCGTGTCGTGTCGACCCTGGCGTTGGTTTCCGACACCGCGGGGATCGTTCAACCTTGAACGATCGGCCGTTTACGAAACGTCCAAATCGTTCCACATCGACCGATTCTGGGTCGCCCGCGGCGTTCAAAGTTGAACGCCGCTGGCGGGGTCGCCGCTGGTCGACACGACGCGAACCTACCGTAAGGAGTATCTCAAGCGGTTCGCTCGTTTGGTGTCCACATCTCCATTGCTTTCAGAACCACACGGTCACCGCGATACCGCAGGCAAGCAGAGGGGCATTCCGAGGAGGCGCCGCCCAGGAGTGTTGCACTTGCCCGCTCGCGCACAAATGATAGATGCTTCGCACCGGTCGCTCCTTCGGCCTCCCTCTCATCTGAAAGCTTCATGACCACCGCGATATGGCATGCATAATTCTGTGGCAACTCCTGGGAGCCTCCCATGACGTCTTGCTGGCCCTTGCGAGTCGCCGCTGCCCGACGCTAGCCTACGCTAATTGACGCTGAGTCGACGCCACTCGACGCTAAGTCAGCGCTCCGGCATCGGTCTCTAGACGCGAGCGCACTCTTAATACTAGATTTCGATAGGCTCGCATGTCCTGCTGAAGTATTGCGCTTGGGCACCTCAAGGAGGGGCCGCCAGGGGGGGGATGCACTTGCCCGTCGCGCCCCGAGTGTGGGGATGTCCCCAGTGGTTGACTCACCTGGCGTCCCCGACTTCTCTCTCTTTTGGAAGCCCCGTGAACACCGCAATCCGCCACTGTACCCCCTGGCACGCTGAGGCGTGGAAGGATGCCAAGTGCTGCCTGCCAGGGTTCTGTACCTCAGAAAAGGCTCCCCCCCTTTGGCTGCAATCTCGCGCACGCCTCCCCCCTCCCGAGGCCACGCTCCCTCATTAAAACAATGACTCCGCTCTCCCGGGGCTACGACCCCTGGCTCAAAACGACGGATACGCGTCCCGAGGTTTCAAGACGCCCCACGCAAGCAACCAAGGACATCAAGATGATCCGAGATGCCTCCAAGACGGCCCCAGATGGCCCAATATAGCCTTAAGACAACCCACGATGCCTCCAAGGAGGGCCAAGAGGACAACACAAACACTCCCAACAAAGTTCGAAGAAACCAACACCGTGAACTTACTGTACATAAATTGTCGAGTGTGTGTTCGCATTCTCGCTTGTTCGGGCTCCCGTGAATTCAAGACGGCCCCAAGGCGGCCCGCGAGGCCGCAGACAGGACCCCAAGACTGCTCAAGAGGACACCGCGATAGCCCAAGAGGCATCCAAGACGGCCCCAAAACGGCCCAAGAAGGCCCCTAGCCGCAAGGGACCCCCAGACTGCCCCACAGGTGGCCAAAAGAGCCCCAAGGCAACCCAAATGGTCACATGTGACGGCCTTCCTCTTCCTCCGCCTCCTCCTCCTCCTCCTCCTCCTCCTCCCCCTCCGGTTGCTGCTCCTCCTCTTCCTCCTCCTCCTCCTCCTCCTCCTCGTCATCATCACCCTCATCATCATCATCATCATCATCATCATCATCATCATCATCATCATCATCATCATCATCATCATCATCATCATCATCATCATCATCATCATCATCATCATCATCATCATCATCATCATCATCATCATCGCGGCTCTCCCAAGTCAGGGAACACGAGGTGTCACGCGTGACGGCCTCCCGTGCCCCCTCGAACAGTTGCCACCCAGAGCAGTGGGCCGGCACGGAAGCGGCACTTGCCACAGGTGGCTGGACACAGCATGCCCAGCAGTCGGGCCCTCCAAGGGAGGACGCCAGGGGGCAGGCTACTTCCCCGTTGGCGGCCAGATCGTGCGATTCCTCCAGCGAGGCGCTCGTCTGGAGTTGCCGGCTCCCCTGCCCCGAGAGCCCCGTGATCACCACGGTGCAGCAGGCAAGGCACGGCTGGGCGCCCCCAGGAGGAGCCGTCGGGCGGCCATCCAGCTGGCTCGCTCGTGTCGACGCCAGTCTGCACGTCCGAGGAGAGGGAGGGGCAGAGAAAGCCCGATCATGCTCCTCCTACTCCTCCTCCACCGTCGCCACGCCCTCCTCCGCCGTCGCCGCCGCCGCTGCCGTCGACGTCGGTGTCATCGCCGTCTTCGCGCGAAGGGATTGTGGGGTGGTCCCGGGCTCCTCGCTCTTCCTGGTCCTCCTCCTCCTCCTCCTCCTCCTCCTCCTCCTCCTCCTCCTCATCATCATCATCATCATCATCATCATCATCATCATCATCATCCTCATCATCATCATCATCATCATCATCATCATCATCATCATCATCATCCTCATCATCATCATCATCACTGTTCCTTCGCCTCCACCCCCTCCACCCTTCGACCTCCTCGCCCTTACTTCTGCCCCTCCTCCTCCTCACTCCTGCGCTCCGCGCTCGGACCGTATGGATGCCTCGGGCGAGGCGCCTGCTTTCGCCTCCAACTCCCGGCGGGGACACCACCAGGAGAAATCGCGAGACAGAGAGAGGCACACATCGGGACCTCCGCATCGAAGGAGTCTTCGACTGCTGCGCAGGTTCTCGCCCTCGCCTCTTCGGGCCCGTGCACGCCCGGGGCGGTCCGCAGGGCCTCCCTGGCCGGGCCCGTGACGGCCCAGAAGAGCTGTCGTAGAGGCCCCAAGACGGCACGCCCAAGACGGCCGACTCGGGAGGGCTCCAGAGTCGGCCCAAGAGGGGGCTCGCAGGGGCCCCGGGAGCCACTCCCCACCAGGTGGCCCCCAAGACGCCCAGCATGCGCCCACGAGCCCCCAGAGGGCCCGAATGAGATACCAGGAGCGCGGAAAAGGTTCCCACGAAGCAGCCCCCGAGACCTCCATGAGGCTCCCAAGAAAACCATCAAAAGACGCGAGGTTAGAGGAGTACAAATAAGCAGCAACAACACGATAGCAACACGACGCGAAAGAACACATAGCACACCGGAAGCCGCACAATCCTGTTCTGGAGGTCGGCGGAGTGGCGTAATCATCTCGAATAACTGATGCCCGAGCCAGTGTTCTCCGAAAGCTCCAGAATCCACTTGTACACACCTGGGAGGAGGAAAATGGGGTTCAATTAAATCGCCCTGGACACCGCAAATCAAACTCACATCTGCCGGGCGGGTGCCTCACCCGTGATACTCAACAACCGAGAGAAAGAGGAGGAGGAGGGAGGAGTAACGAGGAAGAGGGGAGAAATAAGAGGAGGAGAAGTTACTTGAAGTGACATGGCTATGGACGCCTCAGCTCCGTTGGTGGGACCACAAGCCACACGAAGCTTTATCTTGCGCGGGAGCACGGATGGAGATAACTATGAGGATGGTGCGAGGGGGGTGGAAGGGGCACCGTGTCTCGAGGAAACACGCCTCCTCGCACTAGAGATGATACGGACCACACCGTGCGTGATGTCGGATGCACCCGAGGCCTTGATCGCAGTCGACCGAACAAAAAGACCGCCATTGAAAACGCGCCGTCCTGAGCCAGCTATTGCAAGCTGTGCGCAGCGCCGCGGCCATGACGCATGGCGGGGCGCTGTGGGTGAGAAACGCGAGGTGAGCACGAAATCGAGGCACCCGGCGGCTCGCCGCAAGGCGAACTTTCCAATGACCTGTCCACCTCCGAAATAAAGGCGTCTACCTTGGTCAGAAGACTTGACGCCAACAAAAATTGGCACCGGTTGGCTTGCCAGCCCGCCTTGAAGAAGAGCCGGCCCTCATTCGGGACCTCACCCCTGCTTGCGCCGCAGGCCGCACCGGAGCCCTTCCCCTTCAGTGCGGTCTGCCGTGGCCTCCAGGAGAAACATGTGGCCCGCCAGCCACGCCTCGACGGTCTCAGCTCAGAAGTGCAGCCCATCGCCTTGAAAAAACTGGCGGGGTTGTCGCGCTGTCTCGCGCACCTGCAACCCGCCCTGCTTCAGCGCTCCTAGATGGCAAACACGAGCCTCGGCAGCAGCCGTCGCACAATGTATTGCCATGGGTTCGCATGGAAATCCAATGAAACGGTGCTACGTTATGAGGTGTGGGACTCTCCAGATCCGAGGGTCTGGACAGAGTTTGGCGCCAACCCGCCGCTCCACCACTTTGGAATGAGAAGGTCATGGCCGAGGTAGTTCGACGGACCACCGAGACCACAAACACGCGGTAGGCTGGACAAGTGCGGTAAAGAAACAGGCAGATCTGCCACCGTGCCTTGTGTACGCTGAAGCTTGGAAGATTGCCAAGGTATGGGTGGTAGGGCTCCTGTCCTCTAGTAAGGGACCCCCCCTGACCAGAACTATCTGCATTCATATGTGTGTTTGAACGATCCCCGCCGAAACCTTCAGCGATTGTTCCCGAGTCTGGTAATGTTTGATACTGTGGTCAACCTGAGTTGGCTCGGCGCGCAAGTCGCGATTGCGCATTATGTTCGGCTATGTTTTGTTGTATGCACATATGATATGATGCGTTCAGTTCTACTCTCGACGGGACGGCGTGACGTCCAATCGGTCGCTGCTGCGCCTGATGTTGGTCTTGCGGCAAGCCTTACGTCGGCGTGGATGCTGATTTTGAAAGGGCGCCAATAATCGGTGATTGCTGTATTTAACAGTACCCAACTACGCTAGAACCGAACAACGCTATGTTCCAGAATGTTCTAGTTTGTGATACTGTTTTATGTGCTGTTGTGTTCTCGACCGGCAGGTGTGACGTAGTGACGCCTCCTTTCACGATACATACGTCTTCCAATCGGTCGTTGCTGCACCTGTTTGTTGCTGTGACCAGCCTGGCCTCGGCGGGCGCGTTGCCGCGTTTGATGATCTAATGATAATGTCGATTATGTGATGGTGTTCGCTTGATGAGACGCCGAACATACGTGGCCGCTGTATAATACTGTGCTACGTATGTTCGCTTGGAATACGTGACGCCATGTTATGTCATGTTATGTTCTGGCCGGCCTGGCGAGGCGTCGTGACGCCTGGAACGTCTGACATGTAGTCGAGTCGATCGTTGCTGCTACTGCTCGTTTCTGTGGCCAGCGTCGGCTCGACACGCACGTCGCGTGTGATCGCGCTGCAGTGCTCAATCTCTGCCTAACTTGCACTCTGTGACGTCATGTTCGCAAGGGCTCCTAAGTTCGCGCTTCGCGCTGCGCGAAGCGCGAAGCGCGAATAACTTCGCGCTCTCGCGCCGCCCCCCAAAGAGGAGAAGAGGAGGACGAGGAGGAGGGGGAGGAGGAAGGAGGACGGCGAAGCGCGAAGCGCGAATAACTTCGCGCCCTCGGGGGAGCCCTTGGTTCGGTTCTGTCCTGCTCGACGCACATATGGCCTGTTCAGTTCTGCTCTCATCGGGGCGGCGTGACGTCGTGACGCCTGTCGCGTTGGATATGTCGTCAAAGCGGTCGCTGCTACGCTTAAGTCGGGTCTGTCCCTCTACAGGAGGGAAATTCAAAAATAGTTTTTTTTTGATTTTTTTTTTTTAAAAAAATGGGGACTATTTTTGGGCTATTATTGGACATGTTGGGAGTCTGTTTTGAGTATTTTGAATTTTTTGCCCAAAACCCCCCTGTAGGTGGACAGGCCCGACTTGATGCTACGCGCTTCTCTTGTGGCCCCTTCTGGACTGCGCGCACCGCGCACCGCGCTGGCGTGGCGTGCTTGGCGCCCTCGAGCCGCGGAGTGCGGAGGGGGCGCAGGGAACCGAAGGAGCGAGGGGACGGGAGAGACTCGGGCCGGGCGAGGGGGGGGGGGGAGAGCAAAAGGGGGGGAATTGAGAATCAGCTCGCGTAGCGGATCCTCTGGGCGCCTCCCGGCGCCGGAGGCGCCCAGGTATCGAGGAATGGGCCTGGCGGCGGGGCCGAAACCAGCCGCATGCAGCAGATTGCGTATCGGGGATGGACAGACCCCCCTTTAGCAAAACGTGGTTTAGTGAAAACGACCTGAGGCCCAAACCTGGCGGGCGAAAGCCTGGAAAATAACGGCCACGGCGCCCTCTCGAAAACCGAAAACGGACAATTCACTAATCGACGTGTCACTGTTGGGGGTTCTGTCCACCCCCGAGCGTAACCCCCCCTTTCCCAATCCCCCCCTTTCGTCCGGCCCCAGAGACCAAGGGGGGAGGAACGGAAGGCGAGGGAAGGGGAGGGCGAGAAGGGGGACTGCGTGTTTGGACTGCGTGTCGCAGGGGGGAGCGGGGGGCGGGCCCTCGGGGATGGGGGTGAGGGTGGGAAGGGCAGGGGGGGGAGCCCTCGGGGATGGGGGTGAGGGTGGGAAGGGCAGGGGAGAGGGGGAGGGCAGGGAGGGGGGGGCAGGGAGACGGGACGGAGTTGAGAGGAGAAGAATAACACGAGGGCAGGATGAAGATAGATTCAGACGAATATGAATCGGCAATCTCTGCGCTGCCAGGTCTGCAAGACACAACGCATCTTCGTCCTGGGCCTGCCCGAAGGTGGGAGGGGAGAAGAGGGAATCGGGATGAGGAGGGACAGGGATGGAGGATGAGAAGGGCAGATGGAAGGGCAGGGTCAGGGAGAGCTGGAGGGAGACGGGACGGGGAGGGGGGGGCAAGCGAAGGGGGGACGGGAGAGACTAGTGAGCGCCGGAAGAGTAGCCGCCCCAGCACGAGCCCTGGAACGAGGCCTTATCGCCCTGGATGCAGTTGAGTACGTGCTGGACCGACAGGAGTATGTCGGTCCCCTCGCCACCTTGCATGGCCGAAGGGCGGACTGGAAGAAAGAAAGGAGAAGCGGAGGGTATGGCGTATACACCCGTGTCGTGCCGCATGGAAATACACTGGTGTAGAGATAGATGTCGGAATTCACAGCTGATCATCCTGTTGCTTCCGCATGGTTGGGTCGAAGCTAACTCCATCAGGGGGCTCGATCTGGACACGAGTGTGGGCCATGGGCCCGGGGAGGGGCACGAGTACGGCGCGAGCTTCCGGCGGCAACGCCACAAGCTGCCTCGCTCGCTCCCACCCGCCCTGTTCACCAAATGGCGGACTTCGGACATCTCGTGGGCACATCCTCTGCCCTCGCCGGCCTCCTGCCGCTCGAGGCGCCCTCGCTCTGCTCTCGCAGGCTCCCGACGGCCCTCCGCCGCCGGCGGGGGCCCCCTCCGGGAAGAGCCCCATCAGCAGCAGCACCCGAGGCTCGGCGCGGGCAGAGGCCGCCCCTCGGATGCACGGCCACCGGGAGAGCAACGCAGACGCCAGGTGTGCAACGCCCGCGAGGCGCGCCACGCGTGCCGCGCGGCCCGCCCGCGCCGGCCGCGCCCCAGGGGCCAGAGGCCTTCAAATCTTCGACCACGTGCGGGACAAGAGGAAGTCTGGGAAAATCCTGGAAACCTTGGAGCGTGTCATGATCATGACCTCTTGCTCCTCGGACTGGTGCCCCAGGTGGTCCGCACGCTCCACATGCGCCCAATCGGGGCGGACGAGGGAGGGTGATGGCAAAGCCTGGTGCGCTCGCGCCATACAGTCAACCCGGATAGTAAGGATGCGCGATAAGTATATAAGGGCCTTGGACGCCCATTTCGAAGCGTTTCGAGCGGGGCGCGGCCAACGAAAGTGTCCAAGGATGGACCCAGGAGGCAAGGATGCAAGGGTACCCTTGGGAATGTTGCCCATCCTTACTATGCTAGTTGACTGTATCTTACACACTACCCCTCCCACCCATCCCGTCCCCTTGCGCTGTGTGACCTCTATCCGCCGGCGTGCGGCTGCGCGCAATGATGGGGTTGGGGATGATCTGCACGCGGCTGGGTTTTCCGGCGCCTCCCGGCGCCAGAGGCGACTGTGTACCCAAGAATCCGCCGACCCTTTTGGGGTCGCTGAACGTGTAAGATTCCCCCCCCTCATAACCCCCCCACATGGGACCCTAGACCTGCAATTCGACCCCCGCCGCCGACGCCGACCCCCGGGTGAACGCACCATAGGGGCATACAAGGCCAAAAAACAAACCAAGAAGGCCTAAGAGACGCCCAAGACGATCAAAAAGAGTCCACAGTCGCCGAAAGAGCATTCCAAACCACCAAAGTTTACTCCCAAACGGCCCAAGATGACCCGAATATGCTCCAATAGGCCTCCAAGAAGCCTCCCAGAGAGGGCTCCACGAGGCACAAATCGTCACTCTCCCACGGGAAAACGTATACTTTTCGCACACTCGCCTCCTGGGTTGTCGCAGCATCGACGACGGCTGACGAGGCCCCAAATATCGGCCAAAGATGCCCACAAGAGGCTCACCAGAAGGCTCCAAGACGGCCCCAGAAGGCACCAGAGCGGCCCGTGAGTACCCCCAAACCGTTAAGACGGCTACCCCAAAAGCGCCGAATAGGCACCAAGAAAGTTCCCAGGAGGCCCAAAAACTGTCACCAAGAGGCCCCCGAAAAGCCTCCCACGAGACCCCGTCAATCCAAGTGGCCTCTCACGCACACCTCAAGCACGGTCGCGGATGGGCCGACGCCTCTTTCTGAGCATTCTCATCATCGTACCTCGTCTTCCCTCTCGTTCTCTCCCCATTACCTCTGTGTCCTCACTCCGCGGAATTCAGCACTTGCACCGCCATTGCCGAAGCGATATCCCAAATGGTCACCCGAACGTGTATCATCCGCAGGCCTTGCACTTCAGGGCTCCAATTGTCCCTTCCGACGTTCGCACCCGCCACGGGAAACGCCGACTTCGGTAAATTTCTCTTTCGTGTGCCGCTGCACCGATACGCCTGCCAACTGCGCGCCGTGAGCCCGAGGTCCTGAGAAACGGCGCACAGAACTGTCACTCCCCTCGTCAATTGTTCCGGCCCCCGCGCGCTAATGATGTGGCCCTGCCGCGGGAACTTCAGGGTGGGCACCGCGCGCGTCCAACTGTCGTCCCAACGGCTTCGCCGCATCGACTCCTCCCTTCGCAGCCGCACATGGCCCCACGCATTGCTCTCTTTCCTCTGCTCTCGCGGTGCTGTTCCACTTGTTTGGGGTTCAAATGGCCCGTGTCCCAGAACGCCGCCCCGCATTCTGGCGCGCATTCTGGCGCGCAACACGTCAGCGGCTTTGCTTTGGCATCTGCCTTTCGCTTGCAATTGTTTGCCTGGCGCGTGGATGCGCTGCGCTCCACCGCGCATTTCCGACACAGCGTTGCCCCGGCTGCGTTGCATCTTCCCCAACTAAACTTGTCTGAGGGGCCCCTACGTGGTTATCAAAGGTTGGCGTCTCGGAGTGCTACTTTGCCGGTTCCTCGGAGATTCCTCGGGTTCCTGAGGTCTCCCGCCCTCGCGCCTCCTTTGTTATGTTGCCCGTTTCCCGAAGGTTCCTCGGGTTCTCCCGGTTCCTCGGGCTCCCCGCCCCAGGTGCCTCCTGCTGTTACCTTGCCCGTTCCTCGGGAGTTCCCCCGATTTTCCGGGCTCCTCGGTGTTCTTGGGTTCCTCGGGCTCACCGCCCCCAGTTGCCCCAATCAGCGCCAAGCAATGCCAAGCAACGCCAGGAAATGCCAAGCAATGCCAAGCAATGCCAGGAGACGCCAAGCAACGCCAAGCAATGCCAACCAACGCCGCGAAGTGCCGAGCAGCGCCAAGCACTCCGGCGGGCGGCCGCCGAGAAAGCTCGCAGCGGAGAACTTCGCGAGCCCGGCGTCCACCTCGTCGCCGCCCACGCGCGCTGGGCCGAGCCCTTTGTGAAGGGGCCCAAGGACACACAAATAAATACACACAAATAAAATAATCCCCCATATTTTCCAATATTTTCTGGGTTTCTGTCTTCTCGCCCAATTCCCATATTTTCCCATATTTTCTGGGAAATCGAAGATTAATTGTGTCTGTGTGTTTCTTTTCCTCCTGACTTTGGCGGACCCCTCGAAGTCCGGGATGCGGGTCGGGTAATAGCGGCGCACGTCCTCGCTCACATTTCGCAGCCGGGATTGCGTTGCCAAGGGGGGGGGGGCTTCGAAGGTACGCCTCACTGTTGGCCTTGTCCGGGGCCAGAAGTTCGCCCAGGCTTGCCTTTTCCAGGAGGGGGGAGGCGCTTCGGAAGCTACCCCCCGCTGCACCCCTCTCCTATTGCAGTCGGAGTTTTACAAGAGAGGGTCCAACATGAACCTGGCGCGTGCGCGCGGAGCATGTGTTATTGTTTACATGTTTCGGGCCACGACAGGGGCGCTAACGAGGGGCCCTTGCCGGCCTCGAGCAAGCCGGGATCCTCCCTCTCGAGCCCCATCGCGGCGCCGGGGTACTTGCTCGGGCGACGGCGCGACCCGAGCCCTGCCACTGACTCGTATCCGTGCGACCGCACATCTGCCGGGACCGCGCCCTGGAATCCAGACCGCCAGGGGGCGGATAAGGGTATGTTCGTCGCTCGATCGCGCAGCCTCGTCCAACCACCTGCTTCCCGTTCGGGGAGGGGTTGATCACGGTTCCGTACCCATATGCCCCCCCCCCGTCCTCTCTACCGGCCATTAATGCCCCATTCTTGCACCATCCATATCGAAACCATTCAACATGAATGTTGCGGGAAATCTGGATCATGTCCGAGCGCCCCGCGATAACTTCACATTGCTGCTTGACCGGGGCGAGGAGTGCGTTAGCACATTCCACAAAGCGCGCAGGCCAATAATCCCCGTCAAAAGCCAGTACAAAATGCACGTTGCGGCAGAATCCTGAAACATACGCGGGCGTTCCGCGATCATTTCGCATCGATATTTGAAAGGCGTGATAAAAACGGAGTGGTCTAGCACGCGCGACGCATCTCGCGGGCGTCGCACACATCGATTGCGTCTGCATTGATTCCCGACGGTTGTCGATGGCCCCTCCCCATGCTGAGACTCGGGTGCTGCGGATCTGTTGGGAGGGCGGGTGGGAGTGAGTGAGACGGCTTGCGGCGTGAGGGTCGCTTGGCCCATCCCCGTCCCCCCCCCTGGGTCTGGACAGGGGGACCGCGAGGGCTTAGAGCGCCCAAACTAGCACAGGGAAGTCCAAGATGGCCTCCAAGCTTTCTTGCTTCACCAAATGCTTACCTCCGCCCCTCATCCATACAACCCCCGTCGGCATTGTTTATGGATGGGCTGGTGGGTCGCACCGCCAGCGAAAGCGCAAGCGGCGTCAAACGGGACGGGCGGGCCACGCGCGACCTGATTACCTAACGCGCCAGCAAACAGAGGCCTAGGCGGCACCTCATATCACAGGAAGCGGAAGGCGATCGGGCTGCAGCTGCCAGGAACCAGGTCCAGGAGCGAGCACGTGCAAATTAGCCAACCGATGTTTGGGCGCAGCCCAAATGGCCTGGGAGCGATACCAGGATGAGAAAGAAGCGCCATCACGAAGGACCGCAGACACCAGCAAGGCCAGTGCATGGAAGTGGCGCCACCAAAGTCGAACACAACGCTGACAAGTGGCCGCGGAGGGCGAGGACTAGACGTAGAAAGAACCACACGAGCCGTCCATGCACCCAGCCCCTGCAGGGGTAGCTCGCTTGCAAAACATTCCATGAGGTAAAGCTGTCACCGATGGCCAGGAATGCGTCACTGACCAGGAGCCAGCACGAGTGGCGCCAGCGAAGCCGCACACTCGCTCCTGAGAAGACCACGCGCACTCCCGAACAGGGTCGACGACGTGTGAGGAGAACTGACCAGGAACTGGGCAGGGGCACGCCTCAAGCACGAGGCCGAGTGAACACAAATGCCGAGAACACGCTGGTGGGGGCACGCGAAGCGTCAAGAATAAACCGTGGGAAAAGAGATGTGCACCTTCTGGTAACTTTCAGGCCCACGATGGCAATTTGGGTACCCGTTGCCGGTCACTGATCCGCCCAACTTTAGCATCCCGGCATTTCTTAATGCGCATGTTATTGGACATCGAATTCGACATCGTGCCGCAGAAGCACAGCATAGGCACAAAGTACAGCAACCTGTTGATGAACGACAAGGACATGGCAGAATCTTATAGCCAGCGGTTCTGCGAAGCATCTCTCGCGGCCGCAGAAAACGCAAATTTGAACGCACATGCACGCCATATTAGATCTGCAATGGAATGCGCTGCAGAAGCTTTTCAACAACGCGGGAGGGAACCTAAACGTCCATGTATTACAACGGCCACGCTGGACATGTTGAACAAACGCGATCAACTGCAAGCACAAGGGGTGACGGAGGAATTACAGAAGCTGAGCAAACGTATCAAAGCATCCGTGAGGGCTGACAAGAAGAACTGGTTGGAAACACAGTTGGCTGGAGGATCATGGACAGCAGTTCGCGCACTACGGAAAACGCCCCCAAAGCGGCCTGTCCGAGTTCAAGACAAGCGAGGACATATTGTGGATAGTTCCCAACGTGCAGATACATTAGCCGATTATTTGGAAGAAGTGCAAAGGAAAGTTCAACATGCTTCTCTTACGCCGACTGGGCACGAGCACATGGGACATACACTACCGATTTCGACTGATACTTTCAACATGAAGGAGCTGAATGCCGCATTGCGGGCTCTCTCGACGGGCAAAGCGGCCAGCATTGACGACATACCCCCAGAGTTTTGGGAAGCATTGTCAATGTCACAAGAAGCATGCGAAGAATTGTTGATATTCTTTCAGAGGTGTTGGGGCGAGAAGGATATCCCAGAAGAGTGGCATACGTCATTGGTGGCACTACTACACAAAGAGGGGGACGCAAGCCTTCCAGAGAACTACAGGCCAATTTCTCTTTTAACAATTGGAGGTAAGCTCCTAGCTTGGATGATCCAGAAGCGCATCCAAAATGGCGGGGCAGAGCAGAGAATACGTTCGAGCCAGTTAGGTTTCCGCCCGGGCAGAGGCACCGCGCAAGCCATCAGCATCGCACGTCGCATGTTCGAAGCTGCGCAGACAGGTAAAGCGCCAGGATTGATTGCAGTATTGCTTGATTGGTCAAAAGCTTTCGATCGAATTCGACATGATGCTCTTCTGGATGCCCTACGAAGATTCGGATTACCTTCTGACATAATGCAGCTGATTGCGTCCATTTACAAGCACAGAAGCTTCATCTTAAAGGATCCTGCAAGGAATTCCCGCCAAAGGACACAAGCCGCAGGGATCGCCCAAGGGTGTCCGCTTTCTCCTTATTTGTTTATAATTGTACAGAGCGTCATGTTCTTCGACATAGACAAACGAATGGCGAGCCTGCACGAAGATATTGTGGAACCAGAGTATCTAGTATGCCGTGATCTATTATACGCTGACGACACAATGCTCATCAGCAGCGACTCCAGGAAATTGCAAACTTTTCTGGACTTAGTGATTGATGAAGGCCGAAGGTACGGATTAGATCTCAACTGGGACAAGACTGTATGCATGCGCTTGCATAACTCCGGCATAATTTCCTCACCAACTGGCGCTCCGCTGAAAACCGTTGAGCAAGCTGTGTATTTGGGGGGCCTGCTGAACGTCCACTGCGTAGCTCAACCAGAAGTGACAAGAAGAGTTGGTGAGGCCAAAGCAACCTTCAAGAGCCTAGCCCGGTGTTGGTCGCACGCCAACATCTGTCGCCGCAGAAAAATTGAGTTATACAAAGGTGTCGTGTTGCCGAAGCTGTTTTATAATTTAGAGACTTTGTGGCTGTTGCAAGCGGACAAAAATCGTCTGGATAGTTTTCACACTCAATGTTTAAGGCGAATCCTCAACATCCCTAGCGCGTATGTTTCACGAGTCCCCAATACGGAGATTCTGGACAAAGCGGAGGAACTTCCATTGAGCTGCACGTTGCGCGAGCGTCAGACGGCGCTGTATAGTAAAATTGTAGCGTTGCCGGAAGACCACCCTCTCAGACTTTTAACATGTGAGCCAGGCACTGGCCGGCCAAGAAAATGGGAGCACCAACGACGCAGAGGGAGGCCTAAACAGCAGTGGGCTCCTTGCGTCTATGCGATTTTGCTTGCAAAGGGGATGTAGCCCTGGTCCCCTTCCTTCCCCCCTCCCCTCCCCCCCTCCCCGTCCCCACTTTTCTTCACAGGTGGAGCCGATACGTTCTCATGGAATTTCGTATCGCATTCGTCCGGCGACAGCGGGCCACTTCACCCCAGGCCAGGCTCACATCGATGTTTTTGCCGTGGAAAAAGGTAGATACGTATTGTGCTTCACAGTCGTGGGGCGCTCAACTTTTCTCTGCTTCACAGTCGGGCGCTCTGTGCCAATTGCGCACGTTTCTGTCCACACGCCCTGCAGGAAATCTGGCTCAGTGGCGGCAGTGGTGCCCAAGAGCCGTACCAGGGCTGGCGCGTAGCTTCTGCATTGCACTGTATTAACTTTTTATATGCCAATGCGCCGTGCGAGCGCCAGGCTTGACTGACTGCCGGTCACTGAGACAACTTTCCTGCAAGCTGAAGTACTCTCCGCTTCTCGCTGGCGTGAAGCAAACAGGTCACCATCCTGAGTCGATTTCTGAAGGCCCCAGGGCCCGTGGAGGGCACAGACAGCAGGCAACCTCAAAACCAGCTTCCCTCGGGACCCGTTTCCTCTGGAAGCCGCCGGGGGGGTCTGAGCTGCATGGGCCCCGAGAAAATCTGCCAAGACGGGGGGGTGAGGGCAAATCCGCTCAGAATCTGTCCCCAGACCCCTCCCAGGATCCATATGTCGGGCAGCTTCTTACAGTCCTGGGGCCCGAAAGCCGTCCCACGAGACCGACGAAGGCAAAACCCTCAGCGAACCCAGAACCTCGCACCCCCCCTTTCCAGCTCGCCAGAACCAGTGCTGGGCCACCTCAGACCCCTAGCCAGCTGCAACGTTCCCTGGTTTGTTGGATGGCCTCCCCAGCTACCGCGGCGCCCTGCCGCCTCGGGCGATCTTGATCCGGTCGGCGAGGGCGGACGTGGCGCCGTGCGCCCAGCAGGAGCCGCAGTACTGGGGGATGTGCTGGTTCAAGACGGCGGTGCAGTAGCTCCTGTACTGCCGCCCCCCCTCCGTTCCGCCGCTGCCGTCCCTTCCCGCTCCTCCCGCCGTGCCTCCCGCTCCACCATCGCCCCTCCTCGTGCGTCCGCTTCCCGCCGCGCTGTCGCTGCGTGCAACCGCGCCCGCCCCACCCCGCGCCGCCGCTGCCGCCCCTCCTCGGTCCTCCAGGCTGCCGTTGCCATCCCTCCACGCTCCCACTGTCCACTCTTCTCGCGCGCCCTCGTCGCGGCATTGCAGCCGATGTCTGCCTGGCTCAACGTCGCCACGCTTTCCTGCTGGAGCAACGCCAAGGCCCGCTGCCACCGCCTGCCCTTCTACCGCGTCTTCGACGCAGAAATGTAGCCAATGAAGACCGGGCTCGCCTTCATCACCCGCAAGACCCCGGGCATCGCTGGGGCCCGCTGCCTCTGTACGGTAAAACCCATCTCGCACGCGGGGGTCGCAGCCCCGTAGCTGATTGAGGTCGGGTACCTCTGCTCGGGCCGCGGCGAGCATCGACGCGTCGCCGTCGGCGAGTCGGAGCGCCCCCGCGCCCGGCGCCTCTGCGCCACCGGCGCGTTCGAGAGCGCTGCCCAGCGGCGCTCCGGCCAGCAAGGGCGCCTGAAGGGCCGGCCGCGAGGGTAACCGCTGCGGCCGCGCGTGGCCCGCGGGCCCCCGCGCCGCCCGCGCTCGCGCTGCGGCTGCGCGTCGATCGCGACGTCCCGCGGAGTGTTCGCGGCGCCGGCTGGCCGATCGTGCGCGAGAGTCCCGGGGGGGCGCCCTGCGCGCGCGAGGGCATGGATACAAGGCACGGTCTGAAAGCGACACTGATCGCGGCAATTACGTTGGAGGACACGTCAGCCCCTGGAGGGGGCTGACACGTCGTCGCTGCGGCGAGGGGGGGGGGGGGCTCCAGGGAACGCGGCTGGGCGCCAAGGGAAGGCGAACACCCGGGCACAGCTCCAAGTGGTTGGCCCTGCAAGACCTGCCCAGAAGCAACGCCGCAGGCCGCCCTGAAGGCGGCCGGGGGCGCCGTGCCCTGGCGGCCAAAGTCGCGGATGCCAGCGGCGTCGGCGCCGCAGAAACTGCGCTGGCCATCTTCCGCGCCCCCCCCTGCATCTGCAAAGCCTTGTTCGCCGACGCCATCGCCTCGGCGCTAGCGTTTTGCGGAGCGGCGACGTCGCCGGCTGATTGATCGTGCTCGGGAGTCCAGGGGGGGCTCCTGCGCGCCCGAGGCAATCGCGCTCGAGGGCGCGCCAGCCCTGGGGGGTGGGCCAACGCGTCGTCAGAGCTGGGAAAGGGGGGGGGCCCACGTGCCGGGAGTAGCGGCGACGGCCGCGCCAGGGCCCCCAGAGGCCAGAGGCCACTTTTCCCTACTTCCGAGAGCGCCCCAGCGATGCCGAGAGGCCCCGCGCAAGTCCGCGTCGGCGCCCCTCAGCTGGGCCCCCCGGAGCTGGCGGAAAGTAGCGACAGTCGCGGAAAGCTGCAGCCCTCCAGGCCAAGGCAGGAAGAAGGAAGAGGGCGGGAGTGGGAGTAAGAGAAGGGGGACGCCCAGACTAGAGGAGCATTGGAAATAAAACTGCCCACACCTCTCGACTCACATGCTGCGCACACCGGAACAAGTGAGCAAGCTGATATACAAAAGTGCAGGCAAACAAAACGAATACCAATTCCAAACTATTCAACCAAACTTTACGTCAACAATACGGTAAACAAGTCCATGAAATATCAGCCAGTGCGCCATCAGACACGCAAGCGATTAATGCTTGCATATCCCGTGGCTGCATTGCCGTCAACAGGAACTCGACCGCAAGACGAAGGCCACTGATAACCTGCCATTGAAATCACAAGCTCGTGAAATACATTGTGATTCAAGTACTTCTGAGATGGCGATAAAGTAGCGACACCGTTGGCTCCGCATCGCAAAAATTCATTGTTGTTGAAACTATGCACGATGCCTGTGCACCAGAAGACGACGACGACGACGACGACGACGACGACGACGACGCTCTCTCGTCGCCCAACCGACACCCCTCGGCGGACCTCCCGCGCCGCTGCCGCGGCGCCCCCGCCGCGGCAGGACCGCGACCCTGGCCGACGGAGGCGCGGCGAAACGGCCGACGGCAGGGGCCGAAGGCGGGACCCCCTCGAACTTCGGGGCTCGAAAAGGTTTGTGAACGTTTTTCCTCGTTTTTCCCGGAGCAAACGTGAGTGTTCGATCGACGACGACGACGACGACGAAAGCGACGAGGACGACGACGACGACCCTGACGACCGACGGCGACGACAGTGGCATTGATTTTGCTGATCGTTGCAGTGTCAAGGAAATCCCAGGGGCGATGGTTGCCTGCTGACTGAGCTCCCCGGGATTTGCCACCCCAACGACGCCAGCCCTGCCACGGCGTGACCCTCGCGCACACGTGGACCCCTAGAGGTCTTGACCCCGTCATTGTCGTCGTCGTCGTTGTCGTCGTCGCCCCGGGGTTTGCCGCCCCAACGACGCCAGCCCTGCCACGGCGTGACCCTCGCGCACACGTGGACCCCTAGAGGTCTTGACCCCGTCATTGTCGTCGTCGTCGTTGTCGTCGACGCCGTCGTCGTCGTTAACGTCGTCGCCGTCGTCGTCGTCGTCGTCGTGACGGCCTGGCGCAGCGCGAAAAAAACGATGCGCTTGGACGCCAGGAGGAGTCCACGGACCCATCTTCGGCGGATTTGTGCCGAGGCTTTCCTGAACGCGACAAGGAGGCCCCGAGAGGCCCCCGAGAGGCTCACAAGAGGCCTCGAAAGCGCCCAAGAGGCCCCGAAGCAAGCCGAAGAGACCCTCAAAAAGCCCCAAGAAAGTCCTAAACGGCTCCAGATCTACCCGCCGAAACCCCCGACAGCCCTCCGAAGAGACCGACAGCACAAGCACGACGGCTGGATGGGCCACTCAATCCGCCGCCCAGTATGGTCTGGCCACCAGGGTGCACTGCGCGCCAACTTTCTGCATTTTTTGATTTCCTTTAGAATATCCCAATGGCAAACTGCCACCGGCAACCTGCGAAGCGCCGACCACCCCGTGGCGACAGAACACCGAGAACCTAACCGCATGGCCCCGATCTGGGGTCGGCGGCAGAGGCGGCAGCCTTTAAATCCGGCCGCTCCCGCCCGGTGGGTTGGGCCGTGCAAGACCTCTCTGACAGAGTGTTCGGCACAATCTTTGGCCCCCTTCGCCAGTGCCTGGTCAAAAACCTCCCTGAAGTCCCTCCGGGGGGGCCCCACTCTGCCGCCGGACCCCCCCTCCCCCTGGGGCCCCTCAAGGCCCGGAACAGCCCAAGCACGACCCAAGAGCGCCCCAAGCCGGTCCAAGAGACTCCCAAGACGGTCCAGGAGAGCCTCCAGACGGCTCCAGATCGCTCCCACAGACGCCCAAGATTGCCTCCAAACGGCCCAAAGCGCCTCCAAGACGGCTACAAGAGCACCCCCAAGAGAGCCCCAAGAGACACAAATGATTAATTTTTCTATGGTTTTTGAAGGATTTTCGCGTTCTCCCCATTTCGGCTTACAGGCGCTCCAAGACGGCCCAAGAGGCCTTCAAGATCGCACCAGGATGGCCCAACAAGCGCCCAAGAGGGCTCCAAGACAGCGCAAGAGGGCCCCAAGACGGCCCAAGAGGCCCCCGTGACGGCTCAAGAGGGGCCCCAGGACGGCCCCACGAGGGCGCCCAGAAGGGGAACCCGAATGAACATGTCGAGCTTTCGGTCCCAAGGGGCCCCCGGGAGGCTCGAAGAGGCCCCGAGGAGGCCCAAGAGAGCCCAAGAGGCTCCAAGAGAGCCCCAAGAGGTTCCCCAAAAGCCCTCAAGATGGCCCCCAAGAGGCCCCCAAACTCCCCCGCTGAGACCCCCGAGAGCCCTCTCGAGACCCCAGGAAGCGTGCATGAGGACTCCGACCCAATGCCCAAGCACGGTGGCGGGATGGGCCGACGGCTATTTGATAGCTGGCATACGCGCCGCGTCGCGACTATCGATGCTGCGCGCCACTTCGACAAACTCCCAAGGAACGGCCGGTGATGTGCCACCAGCGTCCTCGATAACACGGATGGAAGGCTGGTCGTTTTTCAAAAGGGCGCCACGCACATTCGTTGCACAAACTTCCAGCAACTACGCGGATGGAGGGCCTGTCGTTTTCAACAGGCGGCTCTCGTCTTAGCCCCGCGCACATCCGTCAAAGTAAATCAAAAAACTGCAAGGATTGAGGACGGTTAGTTTCGAAAGGGCGGCTCTCGATTGAGGCATCCTGCAATCTGAATGTTCAAATCGCACAACGGCTGCACGGATGACGCGTAACGCTTGCTGGACATGCGGTTTTCTGCATCTGCGGTTCTGTATAATCAAAGAGTTTACAGCGCACGCCCCTTACAATGATGAGGGGCAGGTACTTCTCAAAACGATGCTGTCGATGGGCTCAAGCATCCTACATATTTACGTTATTGCTGGAAGGTTGGAGGGTAATTCCTTCACGCAGCGGGGTCTCGCCCGAGTTGCAACCCCACCAAGCGTCCGTCACCCAAGGAGGAGGCTATCTCCGAATTGGAGGAATACGCATCGGTCGGAAGAGGTCGGTAGACACATGAAGTAGGAAGGTTTTTTTTGGGGGGGCAGATGGGGGTCTCGAGAGGCTTCGGAGACCAAGGGCCACGATCCGATGATGAATGCCGTGCCACCTCCCCAGCGGCACAGCGGCCAGAGCCGAAGGCCAGCGTTCAGAGACGACAGTGCCCCTGAACTTCATTGTACCGTGGCGTCGGAACTCTGCCGACACTGCTTGCACACACTATGGGCGCAAGCCCCAAGGGGTGTAAACAATAGACCGTATTGCTTACTCGGGCCCTCCAAGCCATCGGCCTCGCCTTGGCAAGACTCTCCCAGAGCCAACGTTCACAGAAGCATTCGCACTTCCTTGCGCACGGGTGGAGGAGGAGGGGGCAGAAAACTGCACAGCGGCCTGCTCGCGCCAAGAGCGGGCGAGACAATGATGACGACGGGAAGTCACCCGAAGTCTAGCGTCTAGCATCGAAGTGTTCCTGAGCGGAACCGGGGATTCCCTTCCGACGGGCGGCGCGGGGCGATAGAAAAGCATCGAGACAAGCAGCGAAGAGAACATTCGCCGAGCATGACGAGGGTGAGAGCAGGAGGGAGGAAGAGAGCCAGGGAAAACCCTCAGGCAAAGGCGATAACGACGGTAGAATATGACCAAGCCAGTGGGAGAAGATTTGATAGAGCCGATGACAGCGAGCGCAGTGATCACTCGAGTCGAGGTCCGCGCCGCCCGTGCACGGGCATCCCAGGAAGCACCCATTCGGAGCAGAATGAAACCTCCCAAACCCGGGCAAACGGCGACGTTGCTTAACGGCGAGGTTAAGAATCTGATGTTTAAGGCCCCCCGCTCGCAGTGTGCACTCGCTGAATCCGGCCCTATGGCGCACTTACTTTCCATCTTGACGAAAACAAGCTTCAACATCCTTGTTCAAGTGTTCCCGAACGCTTACAGGCGTCAAAACCGTGCGCGCGCCGCACGTGCAACTATCGCGCGCGCTCGTTTGAACTCGGACGTCGCTGCGACGCAGAGCCCACGCAAAACGAAATGTAGGAAATCACGAACCACCGTTTCCTACATTTCACATGTGCGAATGCATCGAGCGAAAAGGACACCGCGAACTGTACGAATGCACGAACCATGCTTTCCTGCAAAAGGCTCGGCCACCATCAACGCGTTCCTTCAATCGTGTTTCCTGCGTCGCCGTTATCCGCGTCGCCGTTTAACCGTCTGCGGCGCGATATTCTGAGTTCGTAGGAAATCCAATAATAAGTGCAAACACGGCTGCTGTTCACGCAGGTCGCACCTGCGAGACACGGTTCCCCCGAAGCCAATGCTGCCAGCACGCGAGCCAACCTTGCCTACAATGCCAAAACCTACATCGCCGTTGCTACATCGCCGTTTGCCCGTCTACGGACAGAGGTGCAAGCCGAACGCGTCAGCACACGTTACACAGACACCAGTAGATAAGGTTGAGTCGTTCGGGCCAGGGAATAAGCATTGATATAAAACCGATCGGCATGAGTTTGCTGGGCCAGGGGAAACCACTCACGAAAGCGTCGGGGCAGGATGCTTTGAACATTTCCCCTCGGAGGATCATTGGACCAGAGCATGCGATGTAGAGTCTGCTGCAGTTCGGGCACCCGGGTGGAAGCCTACACAGCCTCTTCTCTGGAACCACTGGACCTGGTGGGCAACGGGGAAGGGCAACATACCAATGATAGAATATGCTCATGTACGCCAAGGAGGATGTTGCCCACCAGCCACTGCCATGCGGATGAACACATGGTCGGGCTCATCTCCTAGCGCCTCAAGGTGGCAGGTGGGCGCTCCAACCGAACCACTGCGAATAGTATATCGAAGGCAGACATCACGAGAAAGCGTGACAACATCTTGAAATTCGATAGGGAGATGGATGGCCGATAGTTGTGTACACATCGCATAGGATATAGCGTTGCGTGGCCCTGCAGTCAAACACATCGCAACTCCTTTGCACGCGTGAACAAGTAACGCCGAGACCTCATACACCTGCATAATAAACATGAACGTGGACGCACACGCATGACACGGAAAGCCAGGGCGGAGCGAGCGAGGCCAAAACGTAGCTGGCGCGTCGCGCTTACACGCTCTTGAAATGTCGGGCATGCTTCTGACCGCGCCAGCCGAACGGCTCCAGGGCCGATGCAAATACCTAAGTATTTGACCGCATCCAACACTGGAGTACGCGTGAAATCACCCTTGAGTACCCGAACAGAGCCCCTCAGGAGGCCAACATCAATGGGGCCGACGACCAGGATCTGGCACTTTTTGAAGGTAAGCGCAAGGCCGGCAATGTCTTCGAGCTGAGTCAGGAGGGCGAGGAGGGGGCCCAGGGAACGACGGGCGCCAGGAAACCCGAAGCATAAATCATCAGCATATGCAGAAATCGTGTCGATATGCGACGAAGCTGTGAAGCGAGTCCACCTCGACAGCCAGTCCGCGGCAAGAACGAATAGCAGCATGCTGCTAAGGCATCCCTGCTTGACACCGCCGGCCATGCAGAATCCCCCGCGTGCGCGACCGCCCAGGGAGATGATGGCAATTTTGCTTTGATACAGCATGCGGAAGAAGTTACACGCGCACGGGCACACACGCATGCGCGAGAGGATATGCAGCATCCAAGGAATGGCCAAGGATGGAAAAGCGGCTCAAACATCCGCAATGAAAAGGACGGCGCCCGGGCGATCCAGCACGCGCTGCTCGAGCCCCCATCCCTCCGCGTCCACAATATGTGTAATCATGTCGCGCCCAGCAGCGCACTTCTGTTCTGTTGTAATGGTATGTTTCGTGTTGATAGCGAGCGGCACCGCGAAGGCTCCAGCGAGCAGTTTAATATCAGTATTGGACATACTTTAAGGGCGTGTGCAGCTAGGGCGGCGAACAATCGAAGCGGCCTTGCCCGTGGAGTCCGAGCCGTTCGGGAGGAAGACCATGAGGCTCCACCTCATCGCAGCGGGCAGCTCAGACACGTCATCGGTGAATAGTGTGAAGTGTAAATCATATAGAAGACGAGCAGCCTCAGGAACTTTCCAGACCCCGTACGGAAGACCATCTTCCCCTGGCATACTATGAATACGACTTCGGGCATAGTCGAACCATTTACCGTAAGACAGCTTCCAGGACCGAGGAAAGGGGTTTAGGGATGGTTTGGAAGAAACGCATCGGTCTCAGGCCACAAGGATTGATCCAGCTGGGGGGGGAACACCTTGGACCAGTAGTCTTTCAAGACCTCAGCGGAGTGGTCGATAGACCTGCACGGCATTCCATCCTCATCATACATACTAGACAGATACGCACGGCTCTTAAACTTGCGCGACATCTCTTGCCTGCGTGAAATGCGTTGCTTGTGCGATGTCTTTACTTTGGACGGGGTACCTGCCCAAAAAATGACAACTCCAAGTCGTGTGAGTTCTGGCCAAGCAATTGCATATCGATAGAGCGTATGAGCGCACAGAGGCCGTCCACTCGAGTACACTGAAACGAAACGGGGCAGAAGTGCGCATGCAGCGCACGGTAGCATCGCAACGCACGATGAACGAGCCAAACCTTACCCAGGCGCCAGCCTCGAAGCGCCTGCAAAGCCCAATGCTGCTTGAGCTCGAGGGAGTCAGCAACCACATGCTTGACATAGTCGCGGACGTGCGCGGCCGCGACAAACATCAGCTCCTTGAGCTGCGTGAGACGTTCCCACGGTCCCAACTCGTTCGGCATATCAACTATGGCGGCCTCCAGGAACCTCGAAAACTCCGTGTGTTTGAGGATCCACTTCGCAATGGTTGTGTGGCCATATGTGGGCCTGTACGGTTCGATGTTCACGACGATCGGGAGGTGGTCACTCTCCATCTTGGCTGTGAGACGGCCCAGTACACCACAGCGAATGTCGAAATCGCGAAACATAGCCTGGGGTAACGACGAGTAGGCCCTGTCGAGGCGAGCGGTGCTTTTTACGACCCCGACTCTGACCTCCCTCCTGGTACCCTGTTCCTGGCAAAACTCCGTGACATAAGGAAAGTGACGCTGAAAAAGACGCGAATGAGCTCGGCCCCCAGGTTTCCAACCAGACCCGTCGGCTTGCATTCGGCCTTCCTCGACAAGGGCGAAATTGAAATCACAAATGAGCATGCGATGGTCATGCGGAAACTTCTGAAACTCAGCACGCAGCACCAGAAGAGCCTGTGCATCTATCTGGAGCGTGTCGCTCGTGTTGGGGAGGTGAAGGTTGAAGATACTGAGAGAACCAGCAGGGTCATATAGACGACTATGGAGGATACGACCTGTAATGATAGAATTGTGCTCGACCGTGGTAAATTGGGATTCCGCCCACCCCTGCAGAGGAGTCAAGTGGTAAGACTGCCCGAGGATTGAAACAGGAAGGCGCATAAAGTTGATTGGGGCCTGGAGTTCCAGAAGTACGTAATTTAAACGACCAATGTGTATTTGCACAGACTCGTGAAGGGGGACTTGGGACGGGAGGGTGGATTGCAGCATCGCTGACGCATCCTGGGTTTACTCTGGTCCTTCATCCTTCCCTCTCCTCCCCCCTCATCTGGAGCATCAGCGGTCCTTCCGTTCGGGGTCAGGCACCAATCGAAGTCCAGCGGACGCTCGGTGGCATCGCCATAGGCGTTCATCCTCGGCGGATAATCAAACGATGAGAAGAAAAGTAGAGTAACGAGAGAGAATGGGAAAGGGACAACGGGGGCGACAGGAGGAGGAAAACGGGAGGAGGGATGACAACGACGACGATGACGATGATGAGTGACCAATTGTGAAGCACCCACGGTGCACCTTAAACTACAAATTACTTCAGCAGCACGTGAGGGGGAAAATGGCGGAGCATGTTCAGAACATGTTAGTAACGGGCACGGGGGTAAACGCGGGAACTTATAGTGGCACACGCTTGCGGAGGGAACACCATGAGAAGACCGGGTGGAGGGCACAGGAAGAGAACTGGTAACGAGGAAGAAACAAGAAATGCGGTAGAAAGAGAGGAAGGAGGGAAGAGCATGGGAGAGCAGGAGGGGGGAAGATGATGAGAAAAGGGAAGGAGGGAACGATGCTCTTGTCATGAGGACCTGTGCGCTGTTCTCCGCCACCGCGTGGATCTGCTCGACCTCGAGCGGCCGCGGGCTGTTCTGACAGCCGCGACCGTCACACAAGGGCCGAACTCAGGCCGCACCTTGGACGACCGCTGGCGCCCCCGTCGCCCCAAGATGGCACGAAACGGTCGCAGAGGATGAGAGGAGGAGGAAGAGGAAGAGGACGAACACACAGCATGACTCGGCATTGTGCTGCATGTCTGAAGCAACGTGCTACTGCGCTGCCTGCCACATGACACAGCATCCGAGTAAACTTCGACAAATCGCTACGCTCGGCCGAATCGAACGCGGTCGGGGAAAAGCGCACAGCACATAGAACACGATCGAGTGTATAGGGACGGGTCGCAAAGCAAACGTTCAGAACTCGACTCGATTTACCATGAGCACCATCCATGTCTGACTGGGCCGTGCACGGGGAACGGCCTAGGCTAACGACAAAACGCTCGGTACAATGCACTGATTCAACTGAAGCCGTGCTCCTGCTAAGTGAACTTCTGTTCTGCGAAGTGCGCTTCAGATGTGCTTGATCCTATTGCCAGCCCCGCCTCCTGCTACTGGTGTTGCACAGTAGCTCATATCAAGTTGCATGGGGAGCTCTGGAAAACAACTCCTCCTCCTACTCCTCCTCCTCCTCCTCCTCCTACTCCTCCTCCTCCTCCTCCTCCTCCTCCTCCTCGTACTCCTTCTCTCCCTCTCGTTGCCTCGCATCCCCCACAGTGGAAGCCTTTGGTTCATGCCAAGTTCATGCCCATCTGCATTCGCATGTGGCATATGCATTGCACTTGCAAGGAGTGCCATGGCATTGCAGTGCACGGCATTGCATTACGACGCATGGGATTGCATTTCTGTTGTACCACTCCCCATTGCGCTGCCTCACCTTGCGTTGAGAGAGTACGCCAACTTTGGGCTCCGAGCTGCCAGGGGCAAGGTGGCCTGGCCCATTTAGCTTGGGATCTCTTCGCAACTCTGGGATCCAAGATGCAGCGCGCGAAGTGGTCTGGTCCGTTTCACCTGGGATATTCTCGCAACTTTGGACTCAGAGGTACCTCATACCCTGAGGAAATACAGCCCGTTCCGCCTTAGACATCCTCGCAACTCTGGCTCTGAGATGCCGCGTGCGAGGTGATCTGGCCAATTTTGCCTCAGACATTCCTCGCCTGAAACATCCACCCAATTCTGGGAGATGCCGCGCGCGAGGTGGTCTGGCCACCTTGGCCTGAGACATCATCGCAACTCTGGGCTCCTAGATGCTGCAGGCGAAGAGGTGTGGCCGGGCTCGACTGAGGATCCTTGCAACTCTGGGCTCAGATGTGTCCTGGCTTGATGTGGTCCCGCCCAATTCGCCTGAGTCATCCTTGCAACTCTCGGTTCAGAGATACCTTTCGCGAGCTGGACTTGCCTAATAATCGCCAAGGCATCGTCGCAACCCTGGGATCGGAGATGCTCCGACCTGAATTGGCCCAGCCCGACTCGCAAAAAAACATCCTCGCAACTCTGGTCCCAAAAATGCCGTGACCTGAAGAGGTCCAGCCCAGCTGGCCTGGGGCATTCTCGCAACCCTGAGATCCGAGATGCCAGGCGCTAGGTAATCCAGCCAAGCTCGCCCGCAACGTCTTCTCAACTCTGGGCTCCAAGATGTCGCGCGCGGGCTCATAGATACTCTGACATGAGGTGGTTTAGCCCGTTTCGCCTGAGACATCATCGCAACTCCATGGTGAGAGATGACGCGCGCGAGGTGGTCTGGCTCGTTTCGCTTGAGACATCCTCGCAATTTTGGTCTATGATTTGTTGTGACCTGAGGTGGTCTGGCCCAACTCGCTCGAGACATCCTCGCAACTCTGGGCTCGAAGTTGCGACGCGCGAGGTTGTCCGCTCTGGTTCGCCTGAAACATCCTCGCAACTCTGGCTTCCGAAATGCTCCTGACTTGAGGTGCTCTGGCCAGTTTCGCCTGAGACATCTTCGCAACTTTGGGCTCATACATGCCGCGCCAAATTTCTTTGGCCAATTTCGCCTGACGCACCCCGCAACTCCAGGCTCAGAGATGATGCGCTCGAGGTGCTCTGGCCAGATTTGCCCGATCCATCGTCGCAACTCTGGGCTCTAAGACGCCGCGCGCGAAATGGTCGGGCCAATTTCGCCTGAGACCTCCTTGCAACTCTGGGCTCCGAGATGCCTCGCGCGAGGTATTCGGGGTAGTTTTGTCTGAGACATTTTCGCAGCTGGGCTCCGAGAGGTGGGAGAGAGGAGTCAGACAAGGCCGAACCAGCCCTACCTGTCACATTACATTTCTGATATCGAATTACGCCCAAGGATGGGCCCAAGCGCCCCTGCCCCGAGGGGGCAGTTAGCCGGCGGCCAGGCGAACACATTATTTTTGAGTCATGCGGAGTCCCAGGCGGGGGGAGCGCCATGCCTTAATACATGTTGAAGTTTCCCGCAAAAGTGGAAATAAAAGAGCGAGGAGCAGAACCGGGGGAGGAGGGGCGAGACAAACCAGGAGGAAGAGCATCACGAGCGCGAAGACGAGAACGAGGACCGCGGCGAAGCGGGACACAAGCGCATCCGACAACTTGCCCAACAGCCGAGTGAGGGACTCGCCCCGCCCAGGGCCCCCCCCCCCCGCCGGGAACTCTGATGGCAGAGTGAACCTGCGCCGAGCCAGTGTGCTCCAAGGCATCCTCCACCTGCCAACCAGCCGGAGGAACTCCGTCTGCTCTGGAGCCCTCGATCCAGGACGAAGCCACTGCTGCAGACCACCTTCAGCAGCCGCAGAACCGACTTGAGCTGACAACACAACTGGCCATCGCTCGGACGTCCATTCCCTGTGTTTTTGTTCGGCTTCGTGCGTGTTTTTTCGCCAAATGATCAAGGATGCTCCTCGATGGTCCTCGCCGAAGGAAAAATACACACGTCCGAGCGATGCCGAGACAACATCACCAGGCAAGACCACAGGGACGGGCCCTGCGACGCTCGGCTCGACTGTCTCGCGCGCCACTCTCCCAGGGCCAGGCAGAGCCGAACTGCAGGAATCCCCCTAAAGCTTTGGACTTCGCAGCCGAGTCTGACCTCCCGCGCGCGGCCGCCCCCCCGTCCAGAAGGTCCTGGAATCGTGCCGATGGAGGGCCGCCCCTCCTGGCCAAAGCAACCCACTCGTCGATCGCTACCGCGCGCAAGGCGTCGGCGCCTGATGTCGCATCAGGAATGGCATGGGTCTGGGCGCGCAAATGGAGGCGCGCCCGCGCGGCCCGCCGCCTGCCGCGAGACCCGCGGCCCGCCTGGCCCCGCCGAGGCACGACCTTCCAGGCGCGGCAGAGACCCCGCCAGGCCCCCGTGCCAGCAGGGCCGCGGGGGCGTCGCCTGCACGGGCCGCGCACGCCTCCAGGGCGGGCTTTCAACCCGTGCGCACGCCCAGCCTCCGCCCACGATGATGTGATGGCCATCCACCTCTCCGATCTGCTGGGCCCCACCGAGGGGGCGCTCCGCCAGGTCGAACCACCCGGCGCGCGACGCCCGCGGGCGCCCCGCGGGCTCGACCAGCTCCGCCCGAGCCGCCCTTCCTCAGTGGACTGCTCGCGCAGCTTGACGGAGTCCTCGGGGTCGGGGCCCTTCTGGGCCACCGAGAAAGGCCGTCGCGGATGATCGATGCAGACGGCGGGGCGGCCCCGCACCCGCCCTAAAACGCAGCGCACCTGGGCGCACGCGCCAGATGGCGCGCCAGAAAATGCCCAAAGGGCAGCGACGCGACGCAGTCGCACCCGTTGCCCCCGAAGGAAGGAACGCCAGGCTTAACAATGATGCCCCCAACCTCCTGGCGCCAGTCGCCAGGCGCAAGGATGCAAGCATCCGCGTTCCATTCGTCGCTTGCGATGAACGGCGCAGGCCGCTCTCCCACAATTGACGCCACCCGCCGCCCACCAAACCAATCGAGGCGATCACGCAGGGCGAGATGGCAAGGATCACAGACCCCCCTCCCACGGTGGAACTTCCTGTCCACGATGCGTCGCGACCACTCAGAGGCCATAGGGGGGCCGCCAAAGACGCCAATGTGCGCGCCAACGCCGAGGCACGCGCCACCGCCGCTAGCCGGGCGCCCCCTGCCGCCCGTCCGTCACGGCGGACAAAGGGCGCAGAGCCGCCCTCGCCCTGAGCGCCGACGCCTCGCCCCGCCAGCTGCCTCGAAGTCGGGGGGCCCCGTCTCCCGGGCGAGAGCCATACTCCAGATTTCGTAATAAAGGGAGGGGGGTCTCATTTCGGGGGGGGTCTCTTCCAGGCTATCTTGGAGGGGCTGGGGGGGTCTGGGGACGATGTTTTGGAGGGTTCTCCCACGGGGGAGGTCTGAAATGGCTTGTCATGGAGGGTCCAGACCCCCTCCCTTTTATTACGAAATCTGGAGTATCGAGTCTACGTCCAGCTGCGGCGCTTCGCTCCAAGATTGCGCGGCCGACCTGCCGCGCGCCACTGCTGGCGGCGACGCGCTGCAGAGGGGGCGAGCGCTCGCGCCTCGACGCCGCCAGAAACTGACCCTGCGCGAACGCCGCCGGCGCCCGAGCCGCCCCGCCCGCGTCGGCGCGACATCGCTGGCCCCGACGCTCGGCCCTTCCCCGCCCCCGCCCGAGCCGCGCGGGCGAGCGCTGCCGAGCCCGCTCGTCGCCGTCGCCGCGGGGGCGCAGGCCGCTCCGGCGCGCTCGCGGCAGGGCGGGGCCTCCCCCCGGGCCGGCCCGAGGAGGGGGGGGCGAGCGCAGAGGCAGCCAAGGGCGACATGGAAGGAACCGACGCCACCGACGACGGCGCGGCCACCGAGGGGCCGCCCGCCCCCCAGTCCGCCCACGAGACACGGCTGCTGCTCGACCTGGGGAGCAGGGGCCCGCGCGCTGTCAACCAGCGCTCGGGACGCATCGACCAGGTAGTCCAGCTCGGCCCAATGATGGTTGACCACCTCGTCCCACGCGTCTTGGGCGCGGGGCAACAAGGACCTGGCGAAGTTTTGACGGCGGAGAACTCTTGGGCGCCGCGCAGCGCGGCGCGTCTCGGACGCCGCCTCGGCCACAGAGCCCCCCGCAGGCGCGCGCTTCCCACGGAAGCCCGCGCGGAGCTCCCGCTGATCATCCAAGTTAAGCGTTGTCGCAAACCAGTCCTCCTCGCACAATTCCCGCAAGGAGCCGCCGCCCCCCCCCCCCGATTGAAGTTCCGCTGCCGGAGCCTGCTCAGGATCAGGCCGAGCAAGGCCATTGAGGCCAGGCGGCGGTAGGCCCATGTCGATAGGCTCGGCACAAAACTCTCAGATGCAAATCTAGATGCTGCCCGTCGCTCGCTGCGATGTAGAGGAATGGCAGCATGGCAACGACGACCAATGCAACCACATTCACAAGCTAGGAACGCCGACGAAACATGCGCACCGCTTCTTCTGCAAAATGCGAGTCGAAGCTGCCCATGGTGCACTCGCACTTCTTCATCGCCCACAGGTGGGGACACCCCCCCAGCAGCGATCCCGGAGCGCACCTGAGGCACGTCAGGACCAAGGGCCTCGGGCGCCGCAAAGGCGCCGCCTCGACAGTCGAGGTCGAGCCCCCCGCCATCGCTTGGCCATCAGGCGCCCCGAGCGGCACCAAGGTCTGCTGCGAGCACTGCGGGACCCGCTCGCACAGCTTGATCGCAAGGCCGCGCAGGTCGGGCACCTGCACGCCGAGCTCGTCGAGGCCTTGCTCCAGGACCCGCCGCACCTTGTCCGAATCCAGCTGCAGGACGGTAGCCTCCGTCGACGCATCCGACGACGGCGCTGCGAGCGCCGCGCCCTGAGACGCCAGGGCCGTTGCGTCTTGAGCCGCGCCAGGAGCTGCTCCTGCTCGGAGACGAGGGCCTCGGCATCCTTGAGCGCCTGCTCCGCGTCCACCACGCGATTGCGGCAGGCGTCATGGTGCTTCTTGGACTTGAAGAATTTCTGCTCTGCCTCGCCCACTTTGTGCAGGAGCGCACGTAGCCGCAATGCCAATGATTGAGAATCGAGAAGGCTTTGCTCGAGATCCTGGCGTTCGGCGCGAAGGGCGGCCTTCATGCTGCTCCAAATCACACCCTCCCGATGGTGCTGAGCTCCGTGGCGATAGCCGCGATGCGGTCTTTTCCCGAGGCAGGCTCGCACAACGTCGGCGGCATCCCAGCCCGCCGCGGAGGAACGCTCAGCTGGGGACTGCTGCAGCTTCGATTTCTTGAGCTCACCCTCCACACTCTCAATCTGCGCCGGGAACTTGGCCAACTGCCCATCAGCGTTGCCGGGCGGCCCTTGGGCCCATGCCGACTGCATGACCCGGGGCACACGCTTGGACGGGACAGCAGGCGTGACATGCCCACCCAAGCAGGGCCAGCTCCGCAGTGCCACACGAGAAACATGTTTTGTTCTCGGCAAAGCTGAGGAAAGGTTTGCCTGTCGCCTATCTTAGGACGCACGCAGGTCGGAAGGAAGGGGCTCGCCAAACCGCATGGATCCCGAGGACCCCCGCTTGGGCTGCCGATCTCTCGAACACCGCGGACCCCTGACGAGCTTGGAAGACCGCCGCGGTCTAGTGGTATCTCTGCTGGCACGGAGGCGCGAAACCCTGGTGCAGACATCTTGAACCAGAATGGCCGCGGAAAATAAATGGGTGTGAAGAAATTGGAAGGAGAAGGATCAGCAAAACGGATACGGGGGAGGAGAACAGAGGATGAGGAGGAGGAGGCAGGATAACAGTGCGAAGGGAGGGAGGGGGAAGGGAAGAACAAAAGGAAAGTGGAGGAGAGTGGAGGAAAAAGAAGTGGAGAACGGAACAAGGCACAAAAGACGGCACTCCCTTCATTGCCGAGGTTATCGCTCTGGACGAAGCAATCCAGGCAACGATGGCCACCACAACTGCAACCTAAGCCTGACGAGGCAAAGGATGGGGCACAAAAGAGCAGGAGGAGGGAGAGGAAGGAGGAGGGGAGGAGAGGCAATGGAAGCGGGAGGGTGCTTCCTCGGCAGGAGGTCGTGTGACGGCGACGCGCTGCTGTTCTGGGCTGGCGACGGGTCCTTTCGGCGAGCGGTCCCCTCCCCCTCGGCCGCCTGCCCCTGGGCCCTCCCCGCCTCTTCCGTGTCCTCCTCGACCTCCTCCCTTTCCGGGTCCTCCCCGTCCTTCCCTCCGCGTCCCAAATGTTAGCCAACGTGGGCCCACAGCAGCACGTTTCTACCAGCATCTGTGGTGCAGTCCATGTTGTGCAATCTGCGTTGTGCATTCTATGTGGTACAAATAATTTCTGTTCGCAGTGAGTTGTCCACTCCACTGCTCGCGCAAACATCCCACCCACCCAACCGCAACTTGGCTTGCAAAATCTCTTAAGACCGTGACGGTGGGTACCAAATAGCACTTGGCAACGATAGCGACGCCGACGACGACAGCGACAACGACGACGACGACGCCGCCGACAACGACTACGACGACAAATAATTGTTGTTCGCTGCAAAACCCATGCGGCGACGATTGCGATGATTGTTTGGCGTTGGACTGGTGTATGTTTACGGCCGCGCTAGCCCGCGCACGCTCGCGCGCGCAGCGGCCAGCGGCCGCGGTGGCGCTGACCGCTGGGCCCTTCCCAGCGGGCACTTCAGTGCGGGTTAACGACCCAGGCGGGCGCGGTATCATGGCAACGCGGACGACGGTAGACGCGATGATGGTAGTACCGATGCTGGTGACCATGATGGCGATGACGACGGCACGGCCAGTGACGGCGCCGATGCTGACCACGCCGACGACGATGACGGCGCCCCCCCGTCGGTGATAAAAGGTGCTAGAAGGAGTTCGGCATGCGCGCGCGGCCGCCGCGCGACTGGCCTGCATTGTGTTATTTGGCGCGGATCGCCCACCCCCCCATCACGCGCGCAAGGGCGTTCGAATGCTGTCGACATGCGACGCGAGAGGCCCGCGTTGCAAAGCCATGTGCTGTATATGTGTTCGGGACACCCAATCTTGAAGTCCCTATGACACGTAAGGTGCTTGAAAAAATGTCCGCATGCACGCGCGACGACACACGCGCGCTTCAGCCCCATGGTTTGCAAGGGGTTTTTGCGACATCACGCGCGCAAGGGCGTTCGAACGATTTCGACATGCGCGCGCGGAGACGCACGCTTGGTAGGATGCGATGAAAAGGTTGAACAAGGATGGGTTGATAAGCGCCTGCAAGAGCGCGAGTGCAGGTTTGTTTTGAACGTGTCTGTTGCGGAACCCATGTGTTAATATGAGTTCGGGGCGTTCGACCTTGAACCTCCTGAGAAACCTTGCGCGCGCGAGTACACTGCGTCTGGTTCCGTTTGCAAGGGGAGTTTGGGAACGACTGGCTCGTGATAAATGAGCGCGCGCGGAATGCGTTTTGCAGAGGATGAGAGGGGGGACACGGTCTAGATGGTATGATACGAATTGACACCTAGGGTGGTTGATGGGGCAGAACCGCACGTACATTGCACTACGACACCGTCAATCCAGGTGGATCATATTATTATTCTAGACGTGGATACTCTATGTCACTATGCCGGACAGGCCATGTTGTGCAACCGGTGTTGCGCAACCCATGTGGTGCAATATGTGCGGCGCAATGTACGTGATGCACTTTATGTTGCGGCACACATGTCATCCGATAAATTGGGTACCCTACGTGGTGCAATCTACGTGGTGAAATTTATGCGTGGAACTCGCGAATCTCAACTCCACTGCTCGCGCAACCATTCCGCCCACCCACCCGCAGCTTGGTTTGCATAACCCATGCGGCGGCGATTGCGATGATTGCTTGGCGCTGGCTGGTGCATCTCTGCGGCCGCGCTAGCCCGCGCACGCTCGCGCGCGCAGCGGCCAGCTAGTTTGGCACGACCAACTCGGCCGCGGTGGCGTCGACTTCTGGGCACCTCCAACGGGCAATTCCGCGCGAGGCAGCCACTTGGGCGGGCGCGGTATCATGGTGACGTCGACAACGGTGGGCACGGTGATGATAGTAGCGACGCTGGTGACGATGATGAAAACGGCGACGGCACGGCCAGTGACGGCGACGATGCTGACCACGTCGACGACGATGACAGCGTCCTCGCGTCGGTGGTGAAGGTCTCGAAGGAGTTCGACATGCGCGCGCGGCCGACGCACCACAGTGGCCCACATTGTGTTATTTGACACGGACCGTGCCCCCCTAGCACTCGCGCAACGGCGCTCGAATGGTGTCGACATGCGGCGCGGAAGGTGAGTTTGGCATACTGTAATAAGAGAAGTGAAAAACCAATGGTTGAGTCGAGGGTCCGCGAGACAGCGCACGCAAGCAGTTTTGAAAACTGATGCTGCAAAACCAACGTTGCGTTTCCCATCCATCCTGTGTTGTTGGTACTCGTTTCGAAGAGACGGTCCCCGCGTTCACTCCTCCCGCTGCCCCCTCCCTCCTCTTCTCCCATCCGCGCCGCTCCTCCCATCCATGTCTCTGTTCTCCGCATGTCCATGTCGGCACACCCCTCACACGGTTCGTGGCCCGGTTCGTGGCCCCATAGGGAACTCCACCGAAGGCCCCACTGGCAGGGTCCGCATGGCACCGACGCCCCATGTTGGCACACCCGTGACGAGGTTCGTGGCCCCACTAGGAGGTCCACCGAAGGCCCCACTGGCAGGGTCCGCGTGGCACCGCCGCCCCATTTCCGCATGCCGCATACCCCCACACGGTTCGCGGCCCCATAGGGAGCTCCACCGGCAGCTGCATCCACAACGCGGTATTCACAAATGCATGAAATGGAAAAGACTGGGGGCTGCCCAGCCACAAGAAAAACAAACGAGTCAGGCTGCTTAGAGGCCTGGTGCAGCAATCACAAATGCATATGGTTGGGTGCTTCGCCCGGATAATTTGTATGATATGTTTTCGGGGCACTCGATTTGTGAATCCTTACGAAAAATCTGATATTTGAAAGATTTCCGCATGCGCGCGCCACGACGCGCGCGCGTGCATGTTGCAAGTTTCTTGCGAACAAACAAGTATTGCGACAGCGCGCGCACACGAGCGCCCGAACGATTTCGACATGCGCGCGCGAGAGACACGCTTGGTATGCTGCGATGGAAATGTTGAAGAACCTATGATTTTAGATAGATATATATATATATACATACATACATACACGATAACATCGCATAAACGCGAGCGCAGGCTTGTTCTGAACATTTTTGTTGCGGAACATTGTTTCTATATACACATATATATGTATATATGTATATGTATGTGTGTATGTATGTATGAATGTATGTGTATATATATATATATATATATATATATATATATATATTCGGGACGTTCAATCTCGGAATCCTTCGCAAACCTACGGTCGCTTAATAATTCCAGCGTGCACACACAACAACACGCAAGTGTGCGCTTCGTCTAATTTGTGCGCAAGGGATTTTTACAAACTGCTGACTTTTGATATGCGAAAGTGCGCGCCTATTACTTGCTGCAGAAAAGAAAAGGGGAACCGATACCGGCCTGCCTGGGATGCTACGGCTGTATACGTAGGGCAGACGATGGGGCAAAATCGTATGTAAAAAATACGAAAAAGGTGGCCCGTTAACCCCGGGACGGGGGAGGAACCTAATATTCTTTTACGAAGGAGACTATACGTCGAATACTCAGTTTTTGTTCGCAGTGCATTGTCACCCCCACTGCTCGCGCAATCATCCCGCCCACCCACCCGCAACTTGGTTTGAAAAATCCATGAGGCTGCAATTGCCATGCCTGCATGGCGCTGGCTGGCGCATCGCTGCGGCCGCACTCGCCCGCGCGCAGGCTCGCACGCAGAGCGACCAATTAGTCTGGCGCGACCGACGCGGCCGCGGTGGCGGTGACAGCAGGGGACTTCCCAACGCGTCTCAGACCGCGCTGACGCGCTGGCACTTCAGCGCGAGTCGGTGGCTCGGGCGGGCGCGGTATCATGGCGACGCCAGCAACTGCCGACGCGATGATGATTGCAGTCGTGCCAGTGACGGCGATGACGATGATGACGGCAAGGCAAATGACGGCGCCGATGCTTATAAGGCCGGTGACGATGATGGTGTCCACGCGTCGGTGGCGAAGGAGCTGGCAAGATTTCGACATATGCGCGCGCGGCACACGGGCGGGAGTGGCCCACATGGTATTTTCGGACATCGTGCCGCCCCCCAGCACGCGCGCAAGGGCTTTCGAATGATTTTGACATGCGCGCGAGCGGCCCGTTTGGTCGCATTTGACAAACATGTTGAACATCTATTACTCTCTTGAGAATTCGGCGGGGCGCGCGCAGAGTCTTTTGGAAAACTGTTGTTGCGAAATCGTGTGAATTTGTATGTGTTTCGGGACACTCGGTTCTGAAATCCCTACGACAACATAGAATTGTTAACGGAATTCGGCATGCGAGAAACGACGCGTGCGTGCGCACTTCGTCTCGCGAAAAAAACCTAAGCGCCAACACTGTGTGGGGAATCAATAACCCCTCCTCGCACCTGGAGCCGTGTCCGCAGGGTCGGCAGGGCGTTTCGCCTGAGACTTCCTTACCATCTACGACCCTGAAGCTTGAACATCTGTAGCAGCTTCACCGATGGGAACCAGGTGGTGTTCAAAATGTGGGTCTCGCCTGAACGCCACGCACATTGAACAAAAGCTTCACGGATGGAGGGCGGGTGGTCTTCAAAATGCGGCTCTCGCCCTGGCGCCCGGCACGTGCGTCTGAAAGCATCGCAGCGGTTTTACAGGTGATGGGCGGGTGGCCCTCAAAATGTGGCTCTGGCTTTGGCGCCGCGCACATGAGCCTGAAAAGTCTGCAAGAGCTTTGCGGACGGAGGGCGGGTAAATTTTCAAAACGTGGCTCTCGCCCTGGCGCCACGCGCATTCGCTTTCGAAGCTTGCAACGGCTTCACGGATGGAGGGCGGATAGTTTTCAAGATGTGGTTCCCGCCTCAGCGCCGCAGGCACTCGTCTGAAAATATTGCAACAACTCCGCGGATGGAGGCTGGGCCGTTGTCAAAAGGTCCTCGCCCTGGCGCCGCGCACATTCGTCTGAACGGTTTGCACCTTCGTGCGAAAAGTCCCAGGAAGGGTGTTCTTTCTGGCACGGTTCAGGATCGCCAGGAAGCACCAGCACATTTAATTCGCGGCGTTGGAGTCCAAGGAATGGTGTTTGGGCATGTACGGAGTGGGACCTTGGAGGAAGGGTTCATTGCAACATCGTTGATGCATCTCGCCTTTGTATTGGCCTTCTTCCTTCCTCATCAATTAATTTTCCTTCGGAATAAATCCTCCCTATTGCATCCCGCCAACTGTCGATACGGCGGGCCACCCGTTTCTCCTGAGATTCGAAACAGCTTCACGGATAGAGGGCGGGACGTTTTCGGAATGTCGTCATCGCCTAAGCGTCGCGACCATTCGTCTTGAAAGTCGCGAGAGCTTCATGGATGGTAAGCCGATTTCAAAATGTGGCTCTCGCCTCGGCGCCGCGCACATTCGTTTCAGAAGTTCGCAAGGGCTTCACGGATAAAAGACGAGCCATTTTCAACATGTAATTCTCGCCTTGACGCCGAGCACATTCGTAACGCAAGTTGCAAATACTTAGCGGACGGAAGGCGGGCCGGTTTCAAAATGTGGCTCTCGCCCGAGCGCCGCGTGCATTCGTCTCAAAACAACAAGGACTTCATGCATGGGGGGCGGGCCGCTGACAGAGTGCGGCTCTTGCCCTAGCGCCGCGGACATTCGTCTCTGCAAATCTGCAGATGTCTCACGGATGGAGGGCGCTCCCTTTTCACAAACGTGGCTCCCGCCTCAGCGCCGCGCACATTCGGCCGAAGAGTTCACTATCGTTTCATGGAAGGGCTGGCGTCCCAGAAGAGGTGTTTGGCACGATGTAAGACTGCCAGAGCGCAACAGTCACGGTGATTCGCGATGTTGAAGTTCCAGGAACGGCGTTCTGGCATGATGCAGGATCGTCAGGACAGGACGCAGCAAGTTAACGATGAATCGCGGCGTTGCAGTCTCAGGAAAATTGTTTTGACGCGGATCCGAATTTTCACCCGGTTGTGTTCCAACGAGGCACTTGCCGTAAGAGTGAAACTAAACCCTTGTAGGGACCTGTGAGTGGAGAAATTGGAGGGATTGCTGCGAAATCGTTGGTTTTACTCGCAGGGGATTTTGCAAGTCGTACCCCACGGCTCCTTAGCGGGCGTTTCGACGTTGACCCCCTCATGCGGATATCCTGTCCTGTCCTGTCCTCCCGCCTCCCGCCCACCGTTCTCCCTCCTCTCCGCTGCTCATCCATCCTCCCTCCTCCCCCCTCACTCCTCCCTCCCCCTCCTGCTTCCCAAAGGGCGACGCCGGCATGGAGAAGATCGGTCTCCAATTCAAGCCGCATCGCCGATGCATCGGGAGGCCTGGACCGCAGCATGCTTTCGAGGATGAGGGGGCACGTGCGGAAGAACGGATTTTGAGGTTCGAGGATTTCTTGCGTTTTCGTTAGTTCTCGGAGGCTTTCCAACCTCGGGATGCCTTCCTACGGCTGCGCCTCGCCGAGAGCGTTACGGGGGTTCCCGGATCGGCGAGACATCTCCGATTGATCGGCGATAGGCCCCCGATAGCAAATCCGCATGCTCCTGGGCTGGGCGTGCTTTGTTGGCCTCTATCGGCGATCCATGGGCGATTGGGGGCCGATGCTTCCCCTTGAGCCATCCCCGCGCAACGTTGCCCCTGACTCATGCTTCCCAGTGGGCACCCCCTAGACCCCGTCGGCCCCAGCCCCCGCCAAGTAGGAGAAGCCCAAAACAAAAGAATGGGTCACCATGAAAACGGACTTGCGCGAATTAAGACCAATCGCTCCGATGTGCGTAAACGAATGGCCGACAGCGCGGGCTTGACCATTCCTGGACATCTCATCCGTCCCTGTAATCGCCCGCCTTTCACCAGTGTGATGACAACAGGTCTCAGCTTGAGCATTACGAGCAGAGTGATTGCACGCTTCGGCTGCAATGTCCAGCGCCAGAGGAGGTGCTTCAGCAAGCCTCCGGGTGTAATACCGCGAGGCGTCCTAGATGCAAAGTGCACAGCCGTCCAAGTAGGCACCCTCGTCCTCTTCCTCCTCTTCCTCCTATACCTCTTTATCGTCCCTCTTCCACCTTTCCTGCCAGTTCTAATACCTCCTCCGTCCTCCTCCTCAACCTCCTCCTCCTCCTCCTCCTTCTCCTCCTCCTTCTCCTCCTCCTTCTCCTCCTCCTCATTACCATCCCTCCTCCACCGTCTCCCCCCTCCCCCGGTACTACTACCTTCTCATCGTCCTCCTCCTCCTCATTATCCTCCTCCTCATATGCCCACCTCCCTCCACCTCAACCTCCTCCTCCTCCTCCTCCGTGCTCCTGTGATCCCTCCTCCTCAACCTCCTCCTCCACCTCCTCAGCAACTATCCGACTCGAGCGATTCTCAGGTGCAAGAGTTTGCTCGGGTCGCAAGGTGCGCCAAACTTGGCAGTTACACCGACGCCCTGAGCCCATGCCTCCCAAGAGCAGCAACGTGTGGACAGGCGCTGCATGCCGTACCGATGACTGCTGAGGCGAAGGCGACAGTATACAGTCAACCAGAATAGTCAGGATGCGCGATAAGGATACAAGGGCCTTGGACGCCCATTTCGAAGCTCTTCGAGCGGGGCGCGGCCAGCGAACGCGGCGAAGGATGGACCGAGGAGGCAAGGATGCAGTGGTACCCTTGGGAGGGTTGCCTATCCTTATTTTGCGGGTTGACTGTACGACGGGTGCTCAAGAAGCACGGGCGCGGCGGCGGGCACTGCGAGGAAGCTGGAGATCTGCAGGGCCCGCCGCCAGAACCCGGAGAAGCTCGCGCAGGAGCCTTGGAGCTCGCATCGGAGGCCGCGCCCAAGCTGCAGGAGCACACCGACGGGCTGCCGGCGCAGGAGGATGCGCAGCTTCGCGGAGGCAACCGTGCGACGCCGACCCCGCGGAGCTGAGAGAGCTCAAGCTCAGACGACTGCCGCTGCCACCGAGCTCAAACCGCAACCAGAAGAGCTCGACCGCCAGCTGGAGGCAGCGGTCGCGAAGGCCGCGCAGGCCAACGAGAAGGCGCACGTACGTCCTCCGCGATGAGGAGAGGGAGTCCGCGCGCCCTCCGACAGGCAGGAGCTGGGACACAGTCTGCGCCCCCCTCCCGCTTGCCAAGGCGTCCTTCCGCGCTCAGGGCGGGGCGTGGGCGACGGAGGCAGGCAGCGCCGACGCCGAGGGAGGCCGTCCTCCGGCTGGCCAAGAAGAAGGCCACCGCCGAGGCTGCGAAGCCGGGGGGCGTGCCGAGCCAATCCCTGGGAGGCCGCCGCCGCCACCGAGCAGGCCTGGGGCCAGCGACGCAGAGGTCCAGATGGACAGAACCCCCTCGAGTAAAACGTGGTTTCCTGAAAACTACCTCGGGCCCAAACCTGGCGGGCGCAAGCCTGGAGAATGACGGCCGTGGCGCTCTCGCGAGGGCCGAAAGCGGACAATCCACTGATGGACGTGTCGGGGTGGGGGCTCTGCCCACCCCCGAGAACACGGGCCCCTGCTGCACACTGCCCGAGCTGGCGTGGCCTCCGTCTTGCGTCTTGCACTTGTGCAGCGCGGAGCGCCGGCCTGCCGAGCTCCTAGCGCCGGGCAGAGCGGTCAGGGCCGGATGCAGCAGGCACCGGGCCGCGGGCGGGTGGTCGCCGCGAGCGGTGCGAGCACCGCCAGCAGGCTCGAGGAGGGTGCTGAACCAGTTGCGGTGCCAGGTTCGAGGCGCCCGTCGTCATCGGCCAGCGGAGCCAGCTGGAGGCACAGCAGGCGGTGCTGCTGCCGGCGGGCTGGTGTGGGAAAGGGCGGCTGGAAAGCTGGGATGATGCGAAGTGCTGTTGACCGCGGCAGTGGTGGCCAGCGGACGGGAGTAGCGGTAGCGGCGCCAAGTCGCGTGGGCGCTGCGTAACTCCCCGAGCTGACGAAGTGGGAGGCCTGCGCGGGCTGAACAAATACAAACTGCAAGGCGTAATGGCTGGATCCATCTGCTCGAGGGTCTCAGAGAGCCCGCCGAACCACAACCTCAACCACTTGAGCCGCTTCTCCGCGCTCATGGCCATCTCAGGCCGTCCATGGCCAGTGGGCGGAAGTCTCAATGTGGATCCAGAGGGCTCAACAGGTACAGGCGTCTGGACAAAGATGGAGGGGTGTGTATAGCGTACGATCAGAACGAAGGCACGTGCAGGGGGTGCTGGGGCCAGAATTCTGTCAGAGACTATAACATCAACGCCGAAAGCCTCACAGTGATAGGGACCGCAGCAACCGCCTTGGCCGACTTTGCAGGGAAACACCGCACGCACGTGCAACAGGCTATGCAGCTCGTCATGAGGACGCCATGGTCTTTGACTGTGCCAACTGGCCGTTCGAGACCACCCGTCCAGTGCCCACGAACACTACAACGCGAAGGCATCGATCACGAGAGGATGAGCGCGTTCTGGTACGACGTTCTGACACCATATGCGTCACACTGGAATCGATATCACTGCTTCGATGGCCAGGATTTGCTAGCTCACAGGGGACTCGAGTCGCATCGCATCTCGGGAGCGGCCAAGAGGGGGGTGTCCAAGAGGGGGGGTGCAAATCATGACCGGCGGCATGTGTGCGGCCCAGCGGGGGGGCCAGGGACGTAATGAAATAAGAAGAGGTGCCATGAAATCTTGGGAAATATCATGGCCCACGCCACGATATCCACCCCCCCCTAGTCATCACCCCCCTCTTTTCCGCCCCTGAGCATCGGATCGTACGGGCGGCCCTGGCCGGACCAACCTCGACGCCGCGCGATCCTCCAGGCGCTCGCTCTTCCGGGCCGGGCGGCCCTGGTTCTGTGGGTAAGAGTCCATGATCTTCTTGCTCAGAGACCTCCGCTTCGGCGGCATCGTTTTTTGGGGGGGAGGGAGCAGATGCTAACGGACAACATGCTTCAACAAAGGACGTCACAGCTCGGAGGCCGCCACACACAGCGAAGGTCTGACTCAGAGACGTCTCGACAAGGCTGGGACGGCACGGGACACACAAGAAGGCAGCTGCACTTGAAAACCGCTTTCTTCCGCATCCCCTGGGCAATCCAGACGCACACTACTCCGAGGGAGAGGAGGAGGAGGAGGAGGAGGAGGAGGAGGAAGAGGAGAAGGAGGAGGACGGCTACGGCAGGTTCGTGTCTTGACGACCCCAGCGTTGGTTTCCTGCACCGCACGGGCCGCGCAAGCTTGCACTATCGGCGGCGGCTCGATCGCCAGATCGCCCCATATCGGGTGACTCTCTGGTCCACCGGCGGGGCTCACCCTCGAACGCCCGCGGCGGGGTCGCCGCCTCGCCGAGCACGACGCGAGCCTGCCGTAGCGGGAGGAGCAGCAGGGGATAGAGGAAACGACTGCAAAGACATGAACTTTCGAAGCTCCGCGCGGAGGCGCGGGGAGAAGGAGGAGGAGGAGGAGAAGGAGGAGGAGGAGGAGGAGGAGGAGGAGGATGAGGAGGAGGCGCGGGGAGGAGAAGGAGGAGGAGGAGGAGGAGGAGGAGGAGGAGGAGGAGGAGGAGGAGGAGGAGGCGCTGAACCCCCCGCACCTGGCGCGAGGAGCGCGCGGAGCGCGCCAGGGGCGGCGCCCCGGAAGCGCCGCCAGGGGGGCCCCGCGCCGATCCGAGAACTCCGCTCGCAGCTACGAATGTTTATATGCTTATGCCGCTTCTTCTGCCTCGAGGGAGAGAGAGTAGCAGCAGAAAGAGCAGCCGGAGAAGCGAGGAGGGAGGGAGGGGGGAGTCGGGGAGGAGCGAGCAGCAGAAGGGATTGAGGGAGGGAGGAGGGAGCGAGGAGGGAGCGAGGAGGAGCGAGCAGCAAAAGGGATGGAGGGAGGGAGGAGTCGGGGAGCAAACTCAACATCGGCGACACGCCGCCGTGGGAGCCCATCCGCCTGCTACAATTGAAGAAACAAACAACAACATGTTTTTTTCCTGCGATAGCCCGGGTTATCCTGGGGGTAGGTGCTGGCCGATCACCTAACATTGCCGATTTGGGAAGCCCAGAGCATGCCCGCGCGGACCAATGTTGCGCCTCCTGCTGCTGCTAACGATGATGCGACGATGCTAGTGATGCTGCGACGATGCTGGCGCCGTCTGCGAACCCCACCGTGTCATCCCTTGACCCTGGAAAAACTGGCCTGGCGAAGGACCCAACCGTATGCAGTTGTGGGTATAGTCGTTGTATACACAGCATTCGGTGCAGCTCCCTGTGGGGCCACGAAACGTGAGAGGGGTGTGCGAAAGTGGATGCAGTGGGCGCATGCGAGCGCTGGCATCTGGGCCTTCGGTGGAGCTCCCTTGGGGCCACGAAACGTTTGAGGGGTGTGCCAAAGGGGCGCGGCTGGCGCATGCGAGGGCTGGCATGTGGGCCTTCGGTGGAGCTCCCTTTGGGGCCGTGAAATGTGAGAGGGGTGTGCCAGCGTGGGTGCGGTGGACGCATGCGAGCGCTGGCATCGGGGCCGTCAGTGGAGCTCCCATTGAGGCCTCGAAACGCGTGAGGAGTGTGCCCCGAAACGCGTGCGGTGGGCGCATGCGAGCGCTGGCATTTGGGCCTTCGTTGGGGCCCCTTGTGGGGCCACGAAATGCGCGAGAGGTGTGCCAAGATGAATGCGGTAGCCTCGTGAGAGCGCTGGCATTTAGGCCTTCATATTCCTTATGGGGAAACTGAGCGTGTGAGGAGTGTGCCGAAACGGGTGGCGCGGACGCATGTGGACACCGCCACTAGGGTCTTTGGTGGAGCTCCCCATGGGGCCACGAAACGTGTGAATAGGTGTACGTGGCGCGGACGCATGTGGGCACTGCCACTGGGACCGTCGGTGGAGTTCCGCATGGTGCCACGACACGGGTGAGGGGTGTGCCGAAATGGGTGTGTGGACACCGCCACTGGAGTCTTCGGTGGAGCTCCCCATGGGGCCACGTCACGTGTGAGGGGTGGGCAGAAATGGATGGCGCGGGCACATGTGGACACCGCCAATGGGGCCTCCGGTGGAGCTCCCTATGCAGCCACGAAGCGTGTGATGGGTGTGCCGAACGAAATGGGTGACGCGGGCGCATGTGGACACCGCCGCTGAGGCCGGCGGTGGAGCTCCCTATGGGGCCACTGAAAGTGTGAGGGGTGGGCCGAAATGGGTGGCGCGGGCGCATGTGGACACCGCCACTGGGGCCTTCGGTAGAGCTCCCCATGGGGCCACGACACGCGTGAGGAGTGTGCCGAAATGGGTGGCGCAGACGAGCTCCCCACGGGGCCACGAAGCGTGCGAGGGGTGGGCCGAAATGGGTGGCGCGGACGCATGTGGACACCGCCACTGGAGCCTACGATGGAGCTCTTATGGGGGCACGACACGTGAGGGGTGTGCCGAACCAGGTGCACGCGGAGGGCAGAGGAAAGGAGGGGAAGGAGAGAGGAGGGGGAGGAAGGAAGGTAGAACTGGACGCGGGGACCGTCTCTTCAAAACGAGGGCGCAACAACAGGTTGGTTGGGAACAAGAAACCTCCCGCCTCTGGGCAACCAGTCAAGGAGCAGCACGCTGACGGACTCCCAACGGCAGCATGCAAGTGATGCACCCTTCCCCTCCCCAAGGACAAGCGCGAGCAGGAACGCGGGCACAGGAGCGCGAGCAAGAGCATGAGTCTGCGCGGGGCGAGACGGATATGTTTCGCACTACATAACGTCCACGTCACTGGCCGCCCACCCGTTAAGGTTAGGTCGGGCCTGTCCCCCTACAGGGGGATTGTGGGCGAAACATCAGAAACACTCAAGCAGTACCCCCCAAATGGGCAGAACTAGTGAAAAAATCGTCCCCAGCTAATTTTTCTTGATTATGTTTTGAATATTCCTCCTGTCGAGGGACAGGCCCGACGCAACGCTAGGGTCCGCCCCTGCGATCCACCCGTGGGGGCCCCGCCCGCCCGCCCCGCCCGTGCCGGTCCGCCCGCCCGGTGCGCCCGTTGGGGCCCGCCCCCGCCGTCGCGCCCGTCGGGGCCCGCCCGCGCGGCACGCCCGCCAGGTGCCGCCCGATCGACTGGGCGAGCGCCCTCTCTTCTCTGGCGTTCCTCCTCTCCTTGGCCACGGCATTCTCGCGGGAGATTTGCTCGCTGATCCAGGTCGACAACGACAACTCGGGCGCCGCCATGAGCCCGCGTGTGTTGTTCACCCCTGCGAAGTAGAACTCCCCACCCTGACGGTCGTCGTCGCCTTCACTAGGGGAGCGAAGAATGACATAAACATTAAAAACTCGGAGGTCCGCGCAGATTTCTCGGATCGGCGCTGGACCCCCCTCCCTGGCACGCGGACGGCGCTAGGGGCGGCGCCAGAGGCGCCGCCAGGGGGGTCCAGCGCGGATCCGAGAAATCCGCACGGACCTCAGAGTTTTTATGTTTATGCCATTATTCGTTCCCCTATTTACCGACGGCGGCGGCGTCGGCGGCGGCGGCGGCCTCGGCGTCGATGTCGTCGACGTCCTCGTCGTCGTCAGGGTCGTCCTCGTCGTCGCACTGCTGGTCGTCGCCCTCGTGGCGTGATCGTCGAACTCGTCGTCGTAGCGCTCGTCGTCATCGTCGCCTGTGGATGTCCTGATGCATGGATTCCACACGAATCCAAGGTGCCCAACCCGACCCGCCTGCCCGGGTCTTGCCCGACCCGACTGGCCCGCTTGTGAGGGCCCGCCCGCCGGACCCGCCCGTCAGGGCCCGCCCGCCCGACCCGCCCGTCAGGGTCGCCGCTGCCCGAATCACTCCATCCCAATTTTTGTTTGTTTCTCGCTCAGGTGGCCGGCCGGGTTAGCGTCACCACACCATGTTAATATCACGTCCAGCCGCCGCGAAGGCCGGTTCCTGTCGAGACGATGTTTGCTTCACGCTCGAGCGCTGGCGAGCTAGGAGCGGAGAGGCCAAACAATGTTAACAGTCGGGGCGTTGACCTAAGGAACCCTGAATAAGGAACGAGGCAACTCTTTTCCATAAGTTAAGCTTCGATGTCCCATCGAAAACCGAAGGACAACCTAATTAAGGCAAAATGTGGAACAATTGAGGAACACGGAGCCCCTCCCCACCGAAAAGGGTTCCTTCTTCAGCGCCCCGACTGTAGGGAGCGGGGGAGGGGGAAGGGGCGCAGGGAGCGGGGGAGGGAGGGGGGGGGCAATGACACAGAAGCCCTCCGGGTGGCGGGCCTCTTTGGTGCTGGCCCGGCCGCGTGGGCAGCCAGCACGGCAGCCTGGGCGCCGGGAGGCCCTCTCCTGCTCCCCTCTCCCTGTCCTCCCCCCTCCACGTCCGCCTCGGCCCGTCGACTCCCACCTCCTCCTCCTCCTCCTCCTTACCCCTCGTAGACGATGGGCTGACACAGCGAGATCAGTTACAGTACAGCAATCATGCCATTTCTTGTGGAGTGGGACACGTGGTTTTTTATGAGAGCCAAGAGTTGCATTACAGTCATCGGCCTGACCTAAGGAACGATAAATAAGGAACGAAGCCCCACTTTTAATCCCAAGGAATAGCGCATAAGGAACGATAAATAATAAACAACGCATGAGGAACTGTGAATAACGGACGTAAGCCTAAGGAACGACCGAGCCCCTTTGAAAGGTAAGTGTTCCTTATTCAAGCCGCTCACTGTAATGAGTATCTGCGATCATGAAGAAGCTGGGATCGTTTGTGGGAATGCGAGAACTGCGGGAAACCAAGGGAGAGTTCTGGGGTATGGGGCCCCTCCGCGGCGCACCCCGCACCGGGGCGGCCCACCAGCCAGCAGAGCGCGTCTCGGAGGGCGGAGGAGGAGGAGGAGGGAGAGCAGGGGGGGGAGGAGGAGGAGGAGGAGGAGGAGGAGGAGGAGGAGGAGGAGGAGGAGGAGGAGGAGGAGGAGGAGGAGGAGGAGGAGGAGGAGGAGGAGGAGGAAAGGAGGAGAGGAGGAGGAGGAAGAGGAGGAGGAGGAGGAGGAGGAGGAGGAGGGACGCGGGGCGCTCTCTCTCTCTCTCTCACACCCCACTGCGTCGCCCTCGGCGCTGGGAGCTCGGGGTGCGGTGGAGGCCCAGGCCCGCCGACAAGCGTCCAGAGGCCGAGGAGACCGCCTCCTCCCAGAAGAGTTTCCCGATCCGATCTCGAGCGGGGAGCCCGGCAGCTCCCCTCTTCTTTGATCGATTTCCTCCACGATGCCCCCAAAGAAGATCCCGAACGGCCCACAGAGGCCCCCCCGAGGCACCCAAGACGCCGAAAAGCCCCTCAGGACGACCCTCTACTCGCCTGGGCGTCGTTTCTGGACGGGCTGGTGGGGATACGCGAAGCGTCTAGAGTTTCCTGATCCGATCTCGAGCGGGGAGCCCGGCAGCCGCCAAGACATCCGGACACGGTTCCTTCTTCCTGTCGGCTCTTGCAGACGTGAGGCCCACACGCCCATGTCCCGCCGCCACCGATCAGTCCACGGCAAAAACCGTCACAGATCTCTGGATACAGAAATGTCACTACATTCCGATGCCAAGTATTCCGCAGCGAACAACAAACACATCCTTTCCGAGGGCTTGCCGACGATCGTCCATAAGTCTGCTGTCCCTATCGCCGCCGCTGGTCAATCTCGAACTGAGCCGTCAAAGTAAATTCAGGACCCCCTTCCTTCATGGCGAGTACGGCGGGTTCGTATCGTGACGACTTCAGTGATGGTCTCTGACACCGCGTGGACCGCTCAACTTTGAAGGATCGGCGGCTTCACGACCACCAAATCGCTCCACATCGGCCGACTCTGGGCCACCGGTAGCGTTCAGCCTTGAACACCCGCGCTGGGGTCGCCGCCGCATCTATACGACGCGATCCTGCCGTAGATGGATCGAGCGATTGCAAAAAACCTTGTTTTTGTTGCAATCCTTGGTTTTTTTTGCAATCCTTGGTTTTTTTGCAATCCTGGTCTTTTTTTGCAATCCTTCGAACAACTGCATAAACATAAACGTTCGGAGCTCAGCGCGGATCTCCTGGAACGGCGGCAGCCCAGGACGGCGCGGCGCTGGAGGCGCCGCCACGGGGGCGCAGGCCCGAGGAATCCGCGCGGCACTGCGACGGTGAATGCTTATGCCGTTTCTCCTTCTTCCTCGAGTAAAGGGGAGGGCAGCAGGAGCAGGAGAAGGAGTAGGAGGAGCGAGGAGGAGGAGGAGGAGGAGGAGGAGGAGGAGGAGGACGGGTGGGGGGAGGGGGGAATGGGGCAGCAAGAGCAGGGCCTATCGTGGGAAAACCAGAGGGTACCGACAACGATACTCCCCAGACCTCTCCCGAGGTGCGTTCCGACCAGAACTCATAGGCGAAGAGAGCCTCCCAGGAGGGCCAAGCGGGCGAAAACGGGAAAAGGGTCGCGGTCTCGATTGCATTTCCTCCTCTGAGTACAGCAGGCCCAATACCGTCTAAACGTCCCTCCTCGATCCTCGATCGACCGACGACGGCGACGATGTCGACAACGCCGACGCCGCCGATGACGAGGACGGCCCTGCCGACGATGACGGCGCCAGCGCCGGCGACGCCTACGACGACGACAAGAGTCAACTTCACAACCTCCGCGATCTTTCGCTTTGGGAGCGTCTTGAAGGCCGCTTCGGGCCATCGAGGGGCCACCCTGGGGCCATCTTGGAGGCCTCGTGAGCCCTCTTGGGGCTCTCCTGGGGCCCTCCTTGGGAGACCTTGGGGCTCTCTTGGGCCATCTTGGAGGCCTTGGGGGCCCTCTTGGGGCCATCGTTGGGGCCGCCGAACACGGGCGGCGAGCTGAACAGTGCTTTCCGTTTCTGTCTCGTTCTCGCTCTCCCTCGTCTCGTCTTCGTTCTGCCCTTGCTGCAAAACGAAATCAAAAGGAGAATGGCCCACCATTTAGCTCGCGCCCTGTCTTGAGCAGGGACCGACCGTCCTGGCATTCCTAGAGTCCTACCACGACATGTTCTTAGAACCCCAAAATGTTCCAAAAACAAAAACACTGCTCTCAGAACATAAACCAGACGTGTTAACACAAGAACAATGTCAACCAGAGAGGTTATAAGAACATGCCGTGGAAAGCACAAAAAGGTTCTTAGAACATTGTGTGGTAGGGCTATAGGCGAGCCAGGACGCTTCGCCACTGCTAGGAGGCCTGGAAATTGGCACCAACACCAGCACAGGGGCTTGCCTCCACATGGGAAAGATGATCCCAGATTTCGGTGTTGGTGGTAATATTTCGGCCACCTTGGGAGCCAGAATATTACCACCATCACCGAGATCGGGATCTTCTTCCCTCGGTGGAGGTACACCGCCGATCTTGGTGTTGGTGTCAACCTCTGGGCCTCCGAACTGCTTGACTGTCTTGGAGGCCGTCGAGCAACAGAAAGCGAGCGGAGCCCCCAGCGGGGGCGGCGGAGGCCTGCCCCCTGGGCGGCAGGGCCTCCAGCCACTTCGGGATCTGGGCGCTCTGCGCCCGCACACGGCTGTGCCGCTCCTGCTCTTGGGCCCCCCCGCGGGCGCACGACGCTCCCTGCAGATCCAACCTCCGCCTCCCGACTCTTATCAGGGGGACGTATGACCTGGGTACAGGGGACTCGGAAATCCCCGACGAGGTCATCAAAAAAATGACGAGGCCGAGCCTGCATTTTGACGAGGCCTCCCGCTGCAGACATCCCACGAAACTCCTCCTCGTCAAAATCCGAGGCGCGGTCGTCAAAAAACGATGGCGAACCCGAGTCCTGGCAAACCCGGGTCTTACGCTCCCCCGATCTTAGGTCGGGCAAGAGCTCCTACAGGCAGATTGTGGAGAAGTCAACAAGAATCAAACAACTGCTCAAACACGATCCGACACACATCGTTCCCTCACTAGGCTTGCTGTCTAATACTGTGCTTGAATATACCTCCTGTAGAGGGACATGCCCGACTTAATCCTACTCCCCCCTCCCCAACTCACGAGCGGCGAACATATCCGCAGCCGCGCCCTCGCGGTGGACTCTGGGGCGCGATCCCGCGGGCACGCTGTCGCACGGATGCGTCCCGTGCGGGGCTCGGGTCGGGCGAAAGGGGGGGATAGCAAAGGGGGGGTTTGAGAATCAGCTCACGTAGCTGATTTTCCCGGCGCCTCCCGGCGCCGGATGGAGCTATGTATCGAGGAATGGGCCCCTCGGTGAGGCCGAAACCAGCTGCATGCAGCAAATTTCGTAACCCCCCCTTTCCCAATCCCCCCCTTTCGCCCGACCCGAGGGGCATCCGCGAAAGATTGCCCCCGTATCCCGCGAGTCACGACCCAGGGGCCCGGCCCGCCGCGGACACGGGATATGTTTTCCGCCCACGACCCACCCACCCCCCCTCCCTGCTGCTCCTCCTCCTCCTCCTCCTCCTCCTCCTCCTCCTCCTCCTCCTCCTCCTCCTCCTCTTCCTCCTCCTCCTCCTCCTCCTCCTCCCCCTCCTTCTCCTCCCTATAATAGTGGTGGTGGGAAATCGGCCCATCATCCCAGAAGAGTTTCCTGATCCGATCTCGAGCGGGGAGCCCGGCAGCCGCCAAAACATCCGGACACGGTTCCCTCTTCCTGTCGGCTGAGTATCGTTTATCCGATCCCCATCCCCAGCGGCGCGCCCTGGGCCCTACTGGCCGATTTGCCCCCCTGCATGGTGATATACGCCGTCCCCTTCGGGTTTCGAGAGGTGTACCCCAGCTGGGGTGGTGGTTTGGTGGGGGTCTCGAAGGGGATGAGGATGGGGACGGGGGTCGGATAAACGATACTGACCTACACTGACGTCCTCTCGTTGCGGAAGAATCATGGCGATGGGCTATTGGCAATTCGCTGCCTCTGGGGGTTCTCGCTGGCCAGGGACCGTCAAGAACCGGCTCAGGATGACAGGTCAATCCTCGGGAAGGGGAGCCACATTGTAAAAAAAACGCGACGTCAGGTGTCTGCGTGGGAGGAGGACCCTTGAACAGCTCCACCTCCTTCCTCCTACCCCCCCTCCTCCTCTGACCGTTTCCCATTTTTCTGGGACGGGGGAAGGGCTCTGAACCCGCCCCTTGTTGACAGGGCGCCAGGGAGAGAAAGCAGAAGACGAAGAAGAAGAAGAACACACCAGAAACACCAAAGACAACGCCCTGGAGCGAAAAAAATGCAACGCACTAGCGGCGAGCTCACAAGAACTCGAACATGGAATGGCGCAGGCAGGGGGGTGGCTTCTTGGTGAGCCCCTGCAGGCCTCTGGAGGAGCCTCCCCTTAGGCCCACGGGCCCCCTCCCAGGAAGGCCCCGTGCTCTCCTGAAGCCCCCCGTCGTCTCAGAAGGCTGCGCACCTCGCGACATCCCCTCCCTCGGGGGCGCGCAGACACGGATTAGCGATCCAATGGATTTGGCGCGCGGTTGCCAAATCCATGGATCGGGGGAGGTGCCCTCCCCAAAATGCGGCCGGTGCCGCCTCGCTCGGCGGCGGCAATCCGCGATTTCCCATGGCAACGGGACCCGTCGCTAATCCGCGCCCCCTCAATCCATGCGTGCGATCGCCAGACTCCCGTGCGCCTCGCCCGCCTCCCCTATCCATCCCCCGCCCATGCAGCAGCCGCGCTGCCACAAGGAACGCCGAGTGGCTCTTTTCAGGTCACGGCGAGCCTCGGTCACGACTAGGCTCCCCGACGCGAGCCCATGAAGCTGCTCGAACACCATGCTATTTCAGCGTCCCGACGAGCCTCCAAGTTCTGGGAACATCCCCCTTCCTGGGAAGACGGCAGAACGAGGAGGCGCTCGGCTGAGGACAGTCTCGTGCCCGAGTAGCCAAGGTGGGAAGATCGCGCCGCGTCGCCGATGCATCGGCGACGTCGGAATGGAGAAAAACTGTCTTCACATCGACAAGCATCGCCAGTGCATCGGCGATACGGCTCATATCGTCGACCTCATCTATTCGGAACCAGTTTGAACGACCCGGATCATCAGGAAAGACTCTGGACGAGGACAAACTCAGGCGAGGATAAAGCAAACATCTCTCAGAAAACGACGGCGCCACACGCCGCTGCCGGCTCCACAGCGCTCCAGACACGCTCTGAGACTGCTCCAGAACGCTCTGGAGCAATTCACCCTGCATGGGCCCCCCTCTTCTCGGATCGGACGAGAGGGGGATCGTGGAGCGGACGTCTTGCATATCAGCTCGCGCATGTTCTCTCCCTCCGGCGCGCCCCAGCGCCAAATGCGGAGACAGATCGAGGACAGCGCCCTGCGCTCTTTTCCACCCCCGTCGGCCGACCCGACGTTTTTATACGAGCCAAGATCAGAAACATTCGCGGTGTCGCCCGTAGCTGGCCCCGCCAACCTCCACCCACCCCTCCCCCCACGGTGGAAGAAAAGACGGCATGAGCATAATTAAATGTTTGGAGCTCCGCGCGGATTCCTTGGATCTGCGCTGGACCCCTCCGCCTGGCGCGCGGGGCGCGCCAGGGGCGGCGCCGGAGGCGCCGCTGAGGGGGGGCCCAGCGCGGATCCAAGAGGTCCGCCGATTCGGCGTGTGAGCTACAAGGAGCCTCAGCAAGAGCTTCAGCTCTTAGCCTAAGCAAGAGCTGGGCGCCGGGGTGGCTCTGCCGGAGAAGGGGGGAAGGGGGGGGGGGGGCGGTCCCCCATCTGGCGTTTTCTTAATGCTTTGCGCATCCCCAAGATGTTTCGGGGGGTCCCAGCCTAGGGACCCCCTACAGATATAGCCGCTACCGCCCCCAGGACCCTCCCCTCGGAACCCTCCCCAGACACCCCTAGGGACCGCTCAAGGCACCCCCCCAGAGGAGAAAGAGAACCGGAAGAATCGAGGAGGGAGGAGGCCACAGAGCCGCGAAGATCACCGAATCCGGGGCCCCCCGGATCGGCGGCACTGGCTGGAGGCCACTACAATCAACGCGGAGTGCCGGAAATGTATGTTCATGTCGTTTATTCTCATTCGACACCTGTCACGTCCCCAAACATAATCGCGTCGTGAAAAAAACACGCGGGACGCTGTTGTCCGTTTTCGGCCTCTGGGGGCCCCCGCCAGGCAACGGGACTGTCATGAAAACAACTCAACAGGCAAAACGGGCCCTGGGGAGCAGGTTGGGCCTTCCTGGGGCCCCGCATCGAAGAATCCGACAACCGCACGTCTGGGTCACGATTCGCGCTGGCGCCGTCCAAGAATAAAAACCAATTCTACGCGTCTCCGGGCGGCGCCTGCGCGAATCGTGACGTGACCAGCCCCCTCCCTCCCTCCCTCCCTTCCCCCCCCTGGTCCCGCCCGTTGTCGCCAGGGGGGGGCAGCTGTCTCTAGGACGCCTCCCTGATTCCCAGACCTTCAGTTTGAAGGGGCCCCAGGACACACAAATAAATACATACAAATTCGCCGGCCCAACGGGCCAGAGGCGTGCTAAGATCTCCGGTAACTGGTTAACAATTCTCTAGTTCGCGCGCGCGGGGCGGCCCCTGGGGGTCCCCATACGAAAAGTACCCCGACTGAAGAGGGAAACTGATGAACCTTTTCTCAGTCCGCATCAAGCCGAAAGCCTCTCGGGCCAAAAGGCTTCGTACACAGAATCAGACGGTGCCCGATCTCTGCACTCCTCCTTGGCAACTAGCCCCTAAGCTAGGCAGCCACCACCAGGCACCGTCTCGCCGCACAGGCCGGTCGTGCAAGCGTCGCGAAGCGACAGGAAAATGGTGGGACGGGCAACGTGCCCATCACGAAAAGCTGGCACAGCACCCCGCTCATGAACCTCACGTCGCCGATCTCTTGGCGATCGCCCGGTGCAGGGCGCTCCACCTCGACCTGAAGTGGCACCCCATCCTCTTGAGATGCTTCTGGACCACTTTCGCCGACAACGGCTTGGTCAAGGAGTCGGCCACGTTCTCCCGTGTGTCGACCTTCTTGAGCTTGATCCTCTTAGCCTTGACCGCGCTCTGGAGCCACAGGTACCTCGTCATCACGTGCTTCTGACGACCCAGGCCCTGGCGCGATGCGAACGCGATCGCCGCCGTCGAGTCCCCGCAGACCTCTACCGGGAACTCCCCATGATTGCAGACGACCTCGACGCTCTTCTCGAGCCCGAGGTCCACGGCGATGGCAGCAACCTTGAGCGCGGCAGCAGCCGCACGGAGGATGCCGCAGTACTCGGCTTCGCCGCTCGAAAGGGACACCGTGCTCTGCAGCGAGCCCGTAGCCGACAGCGTGTGCTCCCCGAACGCCAGGACGGTCCCGCTCGTCGACTTCCTGGTGATGAGGCAGCCCGCGTAGTCCGAGTCGCAGGTGGCCGTGATCTTGTCAGGCATCTTCTGCTTGTTGAACCTCGCGACCAGGCACGGGTGCTTGACGAGATACCTCCCAAGCCTCTTGACCATCATCATGTCCGCTGACGCCGGCGCCTGCATGCGCCTCGAACACTGCTTGACCGCGTCGACGATGTCTGGCCTGTCCAAGGTGAGGTAGGCAGCACGCATCACTACGCTTCGATACCGGCGAACCTCGTCCAGGGGCA